GACAACCCTGTTTGGAAGATTGGCGTATGATCTTAAACGTATGGGGTGTTCACACACTGGGATTTTATGGCCAGGAGGTACAAGAAGCGTAACGTGCACAGCTTTAACATAGTTATAGAAAGATAACTTGATCGTCATATTCCTTCAATCGAACAGGTTACCCGTGCTCATCACTGTGTCAAGACTTTTCTGAGTGTTGCCTCTCTTAGAGAAAAAATTTAAAAAATGACACGTTCTTCCATATTTAGTGTTGGCAGTAGTAGTACATCTCAAAGCAACGCAATTGACCATGTCTATTCTTCCAGTTAGTTAAAATGACGGGGTTATTAGTTTCAATAGGGATATTCACAACCTATACCGTCTTTGACGTCACTTACGGAAAAAAATCAAAACGAGGCTGCAGATATGCATAAATGTCAAATAGGTTTTTTTTAGTACGTTTTTCCTTTGTAATATTATTCATATTATATTAATATTTCATATTAAAACAACTTTTTGCGTAGCATTCTCCTTTAATAGATGTGTAGTAAATTTCACGTGTAGTAAATTTGTAGCCTCATAGAATATACTGCATATTATTTTCCTGCTGCGTGTCACTGTCCTCGAGCGTGCAATCTCTGCTCCCAGAGATACGTTTACCCTTCGTTTATCTCTGGGAAAACTCGTCGGCCATTAATCAGTCTTAAATCGGTTCCTAAGCTTAGTCCCCAGCGGTTCCTGATTGGCTGGATTTGTTTAAATGAAATGCTGCCGATTTCCCGACAATTAGACATCGGTTAGTTGCATGAGTTACATATTAATGATCCTTGGAACATTTTCCACATCTTGACATCAAAAGTTCATTCGAAAACAGCCGATTTGATGATTTACCGGGACTATTTTTAGCCTGCAGTGTGCGTTATTCGGTTAAATACACGAAATGAAATGAAATGAAATGGGGTCTAACGTCCTACTGTTCTGCTCCTAACCTGGGCTAATGAAGACGGGCATACGCCATACAGTGTGCTATGAGGGACATTTTGCCCGGACAGCGGCACTACGGCCTTCTCTTATATCGAATTCCAACTGCCAAGGGATCTTTTACGTGCACGCCAATGTGTACACGGGACCTCGGTTTTTCGACCCATCCGAACGACTAGACAGCTTTCCTTGTCAGCCCCTCCGTCCTGCATCACTGACAAGGGAGAACCACGCCGGAAAATCTGGTGAACTTTCTCGCCAAATGTCTGAAGAAACACGCGATGTCTGAAGAAACACGAGTTTGATGTTTGTGAAGCGACCGACTTTCATGCTTAACATGTAAATATAATAGCAATAAGATGAAACCGAATTCAAATTTACCCTGAACAAATAAAGAAATTGAATTTTACATTGTCTTCATTTAGAAATTACATGAATGGAAATTAGACGATAGCACAACATTAACAAATTTTGAATCTAATATACCGCCATATTCCCATAAAGTGCTGTTTTTTCACACGTAGTAAATTGCTATTTAATTCTTCTTGTCTTTAATTGCAATAAGCCTCATTAGCATATAATAGAATATGTTTAATAATTTTAAAAATAGTGGAGCAGTAGGGAGGGGTACGGTAATCAGAAAGCGACCATGCTAAATGCCAACCCCATCGATCATATCAAGCTACGCTATCGCCTGTGATCCATCGCGAATTAAATAATGGAAGGAATGGAAATAATGAAACTAGCTCACTGTATTTTTTTATTTTTATGGTACGTGTGCAATGTCAAGGGAGAACGGTACATATATTCTTCTACAAATATGTTTTACATACACCAACCCCCGTAACAAAATTTCGCCCCCTGTGAAAAGAATCATCGGTAGTTGTTATCGGTTTCTCAGGGGTATTTTGAGGTTTTCTGGTCAAATTTTCTTCAAATGAGGGGTCTTTTGTGTTGAGCTTTATCCGAAAATTATTGCAGATGCCCTCCCGGCTTACAAATAAATAGTGAGCCGCGGTGGTACTGGTTTTGATCCTTTGGTGGCAGAGTAAGTTTTCGGGATTTTCATGCGTAGTTTTCCCCCGTGTAGTGGTGCGGGACGGATGGCCCAGGAAGGATAACGTCTACCTACATGTAGTTTATACGCTATCCCACGACAACCAATCCTAGTTTCTTGTCACTTGACTCAATGACATAGCTAAGAGTCCAACGCGCGCCCGTTAAAACATTCGTCTTACCCCCAGCCAAATTGAGAAATAGATCGATACGAAAGGGCACGGGATATAAATATGAAACAAACTATCACGGTACCCAACGTCAACTTTTAACAGCACTTCAAACAGATCATAAACGTTAATTCAAAGTCTACCTTCAGGATGTTGTAAAAATTCGAAAAGCAAGTCCAATTCGGTAATCTCTTATCATTCAGGATAAACTGAATCTTAAAATATTCAAATCTACAAATATCTAATGATTAAACATCATCAATAAATATGAAATACTGTCGGGTCTTTCATTCATTCTAACTCGAGCTTCCGCGAATAAAGAAACAAGTTAACAAACGAAGGAGCTCACTCCGTACCTCAGTGGGATATATACGACTTTGTGGGTACCAACCTTTACATTTTTGTCCCGTATGAGCTCCGTGGGTGTTGTTCGGCGAATCCAGTATTTTTCTAGTAAGATTGGATGTTTTTACCCACGAGGTTGGACAGGCGACCCTACTCCTTGTCACTAGCAACCGGGAAATCGACACCACACCAGCTGACTCATTGACAGATCTTATGATACCACGCGCACGCACTACCCCCCCCCCGCCCCCCTCATGCGTCGTTGATACGTCTGATACCCTTTCTAAAGGCCCGTGGATCAATGGACTATTGTTCATTACAAGCGCGAGAGAGGGAGGGGTATGTCCATTTTAAATAAACTAGGTAATTTCGGGACTAACATATATGTACATAAGTATAGAGACAACAATGATTGTTTAGGGTTGGAATCACACACATTAATAAATACAAATAATACAAATTCGATATTAGAGTAGGCCATAGTGCCGCTTCCCGGGCAAATTCCCCCCATAGCACACTGCATGGCGTATGTACGTCTTCATTAGCCCAGTCGGAGAACAACAGTAGGACGTTAAACACCATTTCATTTCATTTTTTTCACTTGTATATGTTAACGTATATGAAGCGCGACTTGTAAACGGACTTTATTCTTTAATGTTTATTTATAACGACCTTGACCTTGATTAAAGGTTATGTATGAAAAGGATTTTATAAGATAGATGTGATATATATTAGTAGAGAATAATTTAACTCATCGCTAATATATCGACATTGTCAGGCTGTAATCTTACGTGGATTACTTTTGTGGTATGTATTTTTAAAACACAATATTGGATAGTTTTAATAAAAGCTAGAATTTAATGGGCAGTGGTTTACTCACTAGTCATTCACGGTTCGTTAGAAATCGAGTGACGGATATCTACGGAAGGCCATTACTGCCTCATAATATGGTGATTTTGATTTATCACCCAATAACATTCTACAGTAGATGAATTTCATAATCTACTGCGATATCTCTTTGCATGAATTTGATAGGTCAATTAAAAAGGAACTCCTTTTTTTTCAAAAAAACAATTCATTTTATTAAAAAGGAACTATTTTTATTTAATTGAATTTTATGGAAACACTGGGTCAATATAAAGGAATTATGTATCACTACGCCTTAATATTATCAGGTTCCGTAAAAGTGGAATATATATCAAAGAATTATATTTATTTATTTTGTGCATGTAAGAAATGATTGGGTGATAAATGAAATCTCTTATTCGTCTTTTTTTGATATCAAAAAATATCAACACTCGTCGATAAAGTAAAAAAGACTCGTAGGAGATTCTCTATATATGTCTTTTTTGTTACATGGCGATTTTGGTATGATATGCCGATTCTGTTATGGTGCGCGTGTACGTCGATATACTATTATGTGGTGATTCGGCAATTATATTGTGGTTAATAGGATATTCTATCGCCCCTTTATTATGTCGTCTTTTGATTGTGTTTATCTATTAAGAGGTGATTTGACGGACATTGTCGAATATATTTATGCATAATCGGTATTTTTTTAGAGATCTCAGAACTCACATTTTCAAAATACGTGAATACATCCACACAAATAGTTTATGATATATCCATACAAATAGTTTATGATATATCCCCACAAATAGTTTATAATACATCCACACAAATAGTTTATAATATATCCATACAAATAGTTTATAATACATCCACACAAATAGTTTATAATACATCCACACAAATAGTTTATAATATATCCACACATAGTTTATAATACATCCACACAAATAGTTTATAATATATCCACACAAATAGTTAATAATCTATCCATACATTTCCCTTGTTTTTTCTTACTTTCCAAAAGGATTAACCAAGTATTACCTGGCCTCTTCTTGTAATTTGGTTGTTATCGATAGCTTTCTCCCGGAAATGAAAATACCATCACGGAATAGACGAAAGGTTCGAGTTCCTTGGATTTCACAAAATGGAGCCGAGGCGTTGTATTCTTCTATCTCAACTGTCGGGGTTGGGAAAAGCCTGAATTTCAAAATTGTTGATATAAGTTTATATAATTTATTCTTGATAGGCATTTTCAAAATATGTATTAATTATTGTTAGATAATTTTAAAATATGTATTAATAGATGTTAGACACTTTTCAAATAGACATTTTTTTTGTTCTTTCTCAGATACAGATAACCGATGTCACGATTTCCAAGATGGCGATAATAGACTCTGTCAACCATATACTAGAAGAACTAGTTAAATATATACCTGGTGTAGTGTATGATTTTATACCAGAATCTAAAATTAGTAGATCTTTATTGATTGGTACCGCAACAGGTGCTCTGGCGTATCTGATCTTTAAGAAGCGGTATCGTTTACCCCCTGGACCTTTTGCTTGGCCTTTGATTGGAAATACAGAATGTGAGTATTATCATTACTTTATACTTTAGCTTACTTTAGACTTTTACATATCGCGGACAATGAATGTGCAAAACACACAGAAGCTTTTGGATTTGGTCAATGAACGTACAAAACACACACATGCTTTTGGATTTGGCAATGAACGTACAAAACACAGTCATGCCTTTGTACAAAACACATAGAACCCGTGCATTGGTCGATACACGTTCAACACAGAAGCTCTTGCATTTGGCCAATGAATGTACATAACACACAGAAGCTTTTGTATTTGGCCAATGAATATACAAAACAAACAGAAGATTTTGCATTTGGCCAATGAATATACAAAACACACAGAAGCTTTTGCATTTGGCCAATGAATGTACAAACACACAGAAACTTTTGCATTTGTTCAATGAATGTACAAAACACACACCAGCTTTTACATTTGGCAAATGAACGTACAAAACATACTGATACTTGGGCCAGTGAACGTACAAAACATATTGAAACTTTTGCATTGGGCCAGTGAACGTACAAAACATACTGAAACTTTTGCATTGGGCCAGTGAACGTACAAAACACATTTAAGCTTTAACAATTAGCCAACGAACTTAAAAAAAAGAATAAATATGCGAGTTTTAAATACAAATATCAAAATAAAACATCTAGTATTGATTTGTGTCTAATTATATAATATAATTTCAGTGTACACAAAAGGCAACATCGCTAAGAAATTTCTGGATTTGTCTAAGAAATATGGACCAGCTTTTACTTATTACATGGGTAAGAAACGTGGCGTGAGTGATAAACATTTTCCCAGGTCCGTATGTTCAACAATAGATGAATAAAATACGCGTACATTTAAATTCGTGAACATTTTAGAGCTATTGAAAATTCGTTAAACTTTTTAATAGCCTAACGCAACCCCCATGGCCATTTTCGACAAATAATTGAAACGTCGGTTTCTGGAATTGGAAGTAGAACAATGTTGTTACTGGGCATTACACTTCCCAGGTAGCAAATAGCCGTCATGTCGCTGTATTCGTGCCATCTCGCACATGTGTGCACGTAGCCATGGTGATTGACCCCGGGATGTAAATAAAAAACAAAACTTGTGTATCACAATTTGTAACGGTACTTAAAGTTTATTACTAACTTTTTGATATAGGTTAATGGTGAATGATTTTAATTGACTGCTTTCCGGACGTGTGTCGCAGTAGAAAAGTAGGACGTTTAACCCTATTTTATTTCATTTTTAGTGAAAACTCAGCTGCAGACCATCAAGTTTTGATTACGTCCATACAATTAATAATATGTGCGTATGGATTTGTCTTTGTACGTAATTTGAGGATCCTGGAAAAATGAAAATGCGATTTCCAGTACTGGAAAATACTGGAAAAACAAGATTACCCCTTGAAACTCCTGGAATATTAACATTTGTGGTTTCGCTATATACTTTAATATAAAGCTGAACTAGTAGACAAATGTCCCTGCCACAGTTGTTGATATGTCGAAAGAATAATTGGACACTGCAAATGGATACAATTTTGCTTGTAAAAAACGAATAAACTATGTTGAAATCTAATTTTGATGAGATCCTTTATTTTTTTCAAGTCAGTCGAACAATGTTCTTCAAGTGTAAAAAAAAAATATATATTGTGATGTAGACTTCTATTCAGGGACTCCTGGAATCTGGTAAATAACTCCTGGAATTTTAAGTCTTCTGGGTTGTGCACACCCTGTTAAATTAATGTGTATATTTCAGGACCATTACGATCTCCACGAACATGTATAAGAAAAGATAAGATTTTACTGTATCACAGCGCCCATTTCAGATATTATAGAACATAAAATAATTAGTAATATAAGAAAATATATATCATCTGTGTACCATAACTGTGTATTATATTAATATTTACATTTCAGAACCAAGCCGATGTCATATGTTTAAATATATATTATAACAATGTATTATATTAATATTTCAAGTACGAATATATTTTACTATTATAACAATGTTTAATAGTTATATTTCAGGGCAAATAAGGTGTGTTATATGTATACAGCATATCATATGTTTAAATATATGATAACAATGTATAATATTAATTCATAGAAATAAATATTTTAGTACTATAGCAATCTATTGTATTAATAGTTCATGTACCAACACGATGTCTTATTTCTATTATAGTATTATACCAATATATAATATCAGATCTTATATAGAATATATATTTCAGTTCAATAACATTGTATAATATTAATATTTCAGGACCAATACGATGTCTTATATTAAACCGTATTGATGTTATTAATGAAGCTTTGCTGACCAAGGGAGCTAACTACTCGGATCGGTATACGGTGTATTCTAGTAAGTAAGCATTGTTTTACAGGAAGCTAACTACTCGGATGCTCCGGTATAGGATCTCGGCGTGGACACAGAAGTGCATTGGCGTTTTCAAAGCCGGTTCTGGCTTTTTCTCGGGGCTTATAAAAAAACCTATTAAATGTTGTGTCTAGCCCCATGTTCCAATTCGTAGCCTGTGTATAAGGCTACATGGTGGATAGAATTTGAAGAAAATTGACAAACACGTCACTGTTAGAGAAATGTTTGCGCAGGTTACCATAGAAAATAAAACAATTCTATATGTTCGTCTCAAATAAAATCAGTAAAATGTCTGCTAGACGTTAAACCTAACATCATACACTTATGCAGCGTTTTATCCTCTGTTTATTCTAGACGTTTATTACTATATAATCACACAGCTTATATAGCTTTCATCCGCTGATTTTTTCTAGCTGAAGTTCTTTTCGAAGGGGGAGAAGACATTATCAACGGTAGATATGGTACTGGATGGAAACTTAGAAGAAAGTTAGCCAGTCGTGCTATGAGGTAATAGTAAATGATAGATAAATCAATGCCCGCAAAACTCTTTCATCCGCTGTTTTTTTCTAGCTGAAGTTCTTTTCGAAGGGGGAGAAGACATTATCAACGGTAGATATGGTACTGGATGGAAACTTAGAAGAAAGTTAGCCAGTCGTGCTATGAGGTAATAGTAAATGATAGATAAATCAATGCCCGCAAAACTCTTAAAATTTAAACTGATGATATTTTTACCATATCAGGTTATGTTAACGTTACTGTTACCATCTCAGGTTATGTTAACGTTACTGTTACCATCTCAGGTTATGTTAACGTTACTGTTACCATCTTAGGTTAGTTTAACGTTATTATTACCAGTTCAGGCTAATTTAACGTTATATTACCATTTCAGGTTATTTTTACGTTACTGATACCATCTCAAGTTATGATAACGTTAGTATTTTGCAGTTCAGGCTATTTTAACGTTATATTACCATTTCTGGTTATTTTAACGTTATTGTTACCATTTCAGGTTATTTTAACGTTATTGTTACCATCTCAGGATAACGTCAGTATTACCAATTCAGGCTATTTAAATGTTTCATTACCATTTCAGGTATTTTAACGTTATTGTTACCATCTCAGGGCATTTTAACGTTATACGTATTGCTATTTCAGGTTATTTTAACGTTAGTGTTACCATCTCAGGGTATTTTAACGTTATTATTATTATTTCGGGTTATTGTAACGTTAGTATTGCCATTTCAGGTTATTTTAACCTCATTATTACCAGTTCAGGTTATTTAGCATTTATAGGGTTTTTTGGGGTGGTTTTTTTAACGTTACTGATACCAGTTCAGGTTATTGTAATACTATTGTTATCATTATTTCAGGTTATTTTGACGATATTGTTATAAGTTTAGAGTTTCTTTAAACGCTATTGTTACCATTTAGGTTTTTTGACTGTTGTCATTTCAGGTTATTTATGTCGAGTGAAAACTTTAATATCAAGTTAGAAGAAGCCGTATCTAAAACAGCGGAAGCCATGTTGAAAGAGACAGGACCCTTTGATCCTAAACCCTACATGTTCTTTACAACTTTAAATATTTTAGGGGGCATGGTTTTCGGAACAAAGTAAGAATATGGTATTTTACTGTATGATTTTGACATGGGAATAATTATTTAATAAAACCAGTGATTCCAACATTTTTTAGCTATCACCCCATGGTTCCCAGGGTAGATGTACCCCTCCCAATTCCGATGACTTAAGTGCGTTTTTAAATAGATCAGGATATCTTGACGTGATTATAAATATACAATGTCATTGATTGAACCGGACACTATGATAGTATTAGGTCTAGTCAAATATAAAAATCGGATAATAAAATGAAAGAAATTGAAAAACAAATAGAAAAACAATGCTTATTGAAGATATTTAGAACACTAATAATATCGGTATCTAAAGTTTTTTTAAATAGATTTGAAACAATTTCATTAATTGTACTGACTTTCCATTTCCATATTGTTAAGGTATGAATATAATGATGAAACGTACTTGGAAATACTCAACAAGCTGGAAGAGTTTTCTAAACTTGCATCAGAGGGTATATTTCTGGAAAATATGTTTCCACCAGCCAGATGGTTTCCATCCAAAAGGTTTAAACGTGTTGCCCAAGTATTTAAGGAATTTATAGATATTATAAGATATAATATTAAAAAAGTAGAAGACGAATTTGTACCAGGTATGGAATTGTGTTTTTTAGTAACAAATAATTCATTAACTAAGGATTTACACAGGTCATAGTTCTAAATGAAATTAAATGAATTTGAAATGGGGTTTAACGTCCTACTGTTCTGCTCCGAACTGGACTAATGAAGACGGGCATACGCCATACAGTGTGCTATGAGTGAAAATTTGCCTGGACAGCGGCACTACGGCCTACTCTTATATAGAATTCCAGCTGTCAAGGGATCCTTTATGTTCACGCCAATGTGTGCGCAGGACCTCGGTTTTTCGTACCATCCGAACGACTAGACAGCTGTCCTTGTCAGACCCTTCACTGACAAGGGGGGACCACGCCGGAAAAAAGTCATAGTTCTATTGAATACAATAGTAATAAACAGTAATTGTAGTCCATGGAATGGTGACCTCTGTATTTCCAGATCAATCACTAAATGCTATTAAAATAATTTAGCTCTAGATTAATATTAGGACCCACCCACAAGTATTTCAATCGATAATAGGTTTTCGATCATTGCAGGTAAAATAACCAACTTTACAGAAAGTCTTCTTCAAGCAGAGAAAGAAATGCGTGAGGAAGGCGAAGAGAATATGGACCATTTTAAGCATCATAACTTAGTGCTAACTGTATTTGACATATTTTTCGGTATGAAAAAAAATGGTTTTCAGTTCTTTGTGACATTTGAAAAATAAGTAGTTTTGGAGTACCACAGGGACCGGTTTTGGGTCCATAACTTTTTGTGTTGTATGCGCGTCTTGTAGACACAATTATACTATACAGCATAGTAGTTGTAATCATAGTTTTGTCGATAATACCCAACTTTAACGCCCAGCCCTTACCTGTTATCCAGCCCCAACACAGAACTCAGTTAACTTACAAGAAAGAAGGAGAGAGAGAAATGGAGTTTAACGTCCACTTGACACGAACAAGGTCATTTCGCGACTAACACATGGTTCAATTTTATTTCAATAATTCGCTTGCGTGTAGCGGTCTTTAGCAGTGGGAGGAAACCGGAGGATCCGGAGAAAACCCACGAGGTTGGCCAGGCGACCCTACTCCTTGTCACGTACAACCAGGGATTCGAAACCACGCCAGTTGACTCAATGACATACCTTATTATACAGCGCGCACGCGTTAACCATTCGGCCATCAAACTTACAAGAAAAGTTGTGAACTGTTCATTTGCTTACAAATTTACAATACAAGATATTGATATTAAACTGTCTTTCAGCTGGTAACGATACATCAAGACAAACATTATACTGGGCTTTGATGTATATAACTGGTCTTCCTGATGTTCAACACAAAATACAAGATGAAGTTGATTCAGTCGTTGGTAATTATTATTTTTATAAAAAAAAACCATATAATTATATTTATGGGTTACTGTTTAAGGTGGACTCACATTACAAATTTGAAATGTGAACTACACAGGAGTGAAAGTTCAAGTGATCATAATAGGTTTGCCATTTTGGAGTCATGAATAATTCAGTAATCGCAGCCATAGTCGGGGGGTTGGATGGCTGAATGGTTAGCGTGCGCGCGCTGTATCATAAAATCTGTCATTGATTCGACTGGCGTGGTTTCGAATCCCCGGTTGTACGTGCAAGGAGTAGGGTCGCCTGTCCAACCTCGTGGGTTTTCTCCGGGTCCTCCGGTTTCCTCCCACTGCTAAAGACCCCTACGATGTAAATAAAATTAAACCATATGTTAGTCCCGAAATGACCTAGTTTGTATCGAGTGGACGTTAAACCCCATTTCTCTCTCTCTCTCTCTCTCTCTCTCTCTCTCTCTCGAAGCCATAGTTCATGTTATTATTTTGTTGTATTCATTGGCTCTGTTGTATTTGTGAAACGTTTATTCTTTGTATTGTTGTGCATTTTGACTACATGACTATAGTCTTTTGTGACCCTTTAGTCCAAAGAGACCAACATCTGTTTTGTAGCCTTGTTGACTCTTGTGGGCCCTTTAGTCTAAAGTTATTCTTGTTCTTGGTGTTTAACGTTCGCTTCCATCGATTGTGATATCGCAGACAATTCTTATTTGTATTATCCGAGCGCACCCACATGGGTGAGAGAAAACTGGATTACCCGGAGTAAACCCACGAGGTTAAGAAAGAGCCCCTATCTCCAAGCCAGATACGCCCACACCATGGATCGAAACCACCGCCCAGCTAGGACTCAAAGCGCGACACTTTAGACCACCCCTATCCCCTTAGTCTAAAGGGACTAACATCAATTTTATACTCTTGGTGTCTCTGGTGAGCCGTGTAGTCTGTAGAATTTTGTTTGATTACAACGCAACAACATAAGTCCTATAGTAGTGACATCAATTTGATTAAAATATGATAGCATACAGTCTGTAGAAGTTACTTCAGTATAATTTTAAAATACTATATATTACAGGGAATGATAGATATCCAGCTACATCAGATAGAGAAGGTCTGTCCTATACAGATGCTGTATTACATGAAGTCATGAGAATAGGATCAGTAGTACCTGTTGGTGTTCCCCACATGACCAGTTGTGATACCACGATAGATAACGGTAGGAAATATAACGTGAGGGCGGAGCCAGAAATTTTTGCAGGAGGGGGTTTGCCAGGCACCTGTTAAGGAAATTTGACAGTTGACAATGCTATCATCGTCTCTAAATTACGTAGGCAAACATACACACTGAGTTTCGAAAGAGAGAAATCTAACACCCCATTCGACGTCAATTTTTATAATGAATTAATAGATCACAATGTATTTGAATTTCATTGATGCAAAGCATTAATTATGATATCACATTATGTCTGTATCATTATTTTGCGGCTTGAATGCCGATCCCATCCCACCATTTGATGATAAAGGATAAAACACATGACCATCACACTTTTCTCATAAAGATTTGTTTTACATTTTTTTATGTAGCAGAGCAGGGTGCCCCCTGGGTGCCCCCCGGGTCCACCCCTGAGACGTGGCTGTAAAGGGTCATAATCGGCTCCTTGGCTGTGAAAGTGTTTAACCACTAATGAATGAAATAATCTGATTACTACTGGTTCTATTTTACCCAGACTATTAAACAATTTTGTTTGATATTATCCAATAAGAATTGTTTATATAATTCACTGCAAGACATATATAATGTTTGATTTCATCAAATAAGAACGTTGTTTATAATTCACTGCAGGTAAATATGACGTTCCCAAGGGTACCATGGTTTTCATCAATCACTGGGGAATTCAGAATGATCCAGATAATTGGGAAGACGTCGAACAGTTTAAACCAGAAAGATTTTTAGATAAAGGTGGTAAAATGGCACCAAAACCTGAAAACTGGCTTCCATTTAGTGCTGGTAGAAGAGTTTGTCTTGGAGAACCCATGGCTAAACCAGAACTACATTTAATTCTAGCAGGTCTTTGTCAGAGATTAGTCATGGAACCCGAACCAGGAACATCAATTAATTTGGAACCAAAGCTAGACGGACTTATACTTGTCCCTCATCCGTATAAGATCGTGGTTAAGCCACGAATCAACCCTTAAACTTGTATCTTCTTCTAAATATTATTTACTGTATGTTTAATTTTTGTAAATTAGTTGGGGGATTGGAAGGCCGAATGGTTAGCACATGCGTGGTGTATCATAAGGTCTGTCATTGAGTCAACTGGCGTGGTTTCGATTCCCCGGTTGTACGTGACAGGGAGTAGTGTCGCCTGTCCAACCTCGTGAGTTTTCTCCGGGTCCTCCGGGTTCCTCCTACTGCTAAAGACCCCTACGCGCAAAAGAATTATTGAATTAAAATTGAACCATGTGTGAGTCCCGAAATGACCTAGTTTTATCGAGTGGACGTCAACACCCTCTCTCTCTCTCTCTCTCTCTCTCTCAGTTACCATGACAAAATTGTCATCAATCGTATTGCACATATTACCATATGCTGTGTCTCCAAGTATAGTGTTGACATGAAACCACATTCCAAGCAGGTGTGTAGATCCTCGGTATGACGTATCATTTCCTGTGTATGTTTTATGACTTTCGGGCACGTGACATAACATCTGTGATATTACGGAATATAATGAAATCTCAGTGTTTTATACTTTTTAACGTTTACTATCTGATAATGACTGTGTGTCATGTCTCATTTTGCATAACAACCTTGTGTCTGAATACATTCCACTACCACCACCAACACCACCATCATCATACAATCTGAGTGTTTTATACTTTTTAAAAAATGTATTGTCTGTATTTATTGTTTGCTATGTTTTTGTTTTGTATAACAGCCTTCTTGGTATTGTCTATTTTTACCATTGATTCTAATTGTATGGGAACACTTGGTTTAACATAATTTTTATAAATGCATCAATAACTGTATGGGATCACTTGGTTTCATTAAAGGGCAATATTGGTGCCAGCCATTATCACATATGTGTTAGAGCTGCTTAAACACGTTCCAAACATAACACAGGGATCATTGATTGCTACGATAGATACGTAACGAAGGTTTGAAGAACCGAAAGTGACGAAAGCAAAAGGAAAACGTTAGGTATCCTTTATATAACTGACTGAAGTAACGAGCAATAACAGATGTACGGCCAAATTTCTACTTACTAATAATTCCGTCGAAGAACAAAAGTTGTCATATGAGACTGTGAGAGGGTATCAGACACTTCAAAAATATAATTGAATGTCAAGAGATAATTAAGAGAAAAATGAAAATTCCCCGTCCATTCCCTTGTTTTTATCCATTCTATACTTAATATAAACTTGGTAATGCACGGACGTTTTCTTTTCTTTTTTTTTCTTTTTTCGTTTAACCAGTTCCATCACATGTGATAATGACTGACACCAATATTGTCCTTTAATTGTATATATGCATCAATAATTGTATTGGATCATTTGGCTCTATTAATTCCACAAATGCATCAATAACTGTATGGGATCACATGGTTCATTAATTTGAATAAATGCATCCATAATTATATAAAGAAACTTTATTAATTGTTGATCTTATTACTGTTTTTATATGTTCACATTATAAAGTGTGATCGTATGTCGTCGTTCGTCTGTCAGTCCGTCAATAATTAACGATTATTACTTTTGGATTTATTGCCCTTGACCAATTTGAAAAATATTGTGGATGCTCTAGATGCCCCAGTTATTATTCCATTGTGCTTTCTTGAAACGCTAAACATGGATCTTGACGTTTAGCCGCAAATGATTAAGGCAAATTGGGTTGGTCTAAAAAATAACCTTTCTAAATGTTGTAGCTAAAATGAGCACGAATGCACCACAGATTATATCCTATGGACACAGAGTCCAATTTGTTTATTCCTTAATTGCTATAAAAGACAAAATATCCTTACCATGATTTTGAGTGTTAGTTAATCTGGTACTAATTTTGTGGGGGGGTGGGGGGGTTGGGTGGCCGAATGGTTAGCACGTGCGTGCTGTATCATAAAGCCTGTCATTGAGTCAACTGGCGTGGTTTCGAATCCCCGGTTGTACGTGACAAGGAGTTCACTCGCCTGTCGAACCTCGTGGGTTTTCTCCGGGTCCTCCGGTTTCCTCCCACTGCTAAAGACCCCTACGCGCACGCGAATTATTGAAATAAAATTAAACCATATGTTAGTCTCGAAATGACCTAGTTTGTGTCGAGTGGACGTTAAACCCCATTTCTCTCTCTCTCTCTCTCGCTCTCTCACTCTCACTAATGTTGTCTTTGTAGTACTGTCATTATACATATGGTATTAAACAAAGCATCGCTTTTCGTTTGTTCCAGCGGAATCCACAAATGAAATTGCTTCATGAAACAGAATTCTACAGGATTTCCTTTTTGATTCACTAATAATGACACTAATATTAAAATTAAGTCTTCGTCAGCATGTTTTCTAATGGCAGTATAATGAAAATAAATCAAGTCTTCGTCGGCAATTATTATGTATAATGGCACTCCCTGGCTAACATTTAGAAATGAAATGAAATGGAGTTTAACGTCCTACTGTTCTGCTCCTAACCTGGGCTAATGAAGACGGGCATACGCCATACAGTGTGCTATGAGGGAAATTTTGCCCGGACAGCGGCACTACGGCCTACTCTTGTATCGAATTCCAACTGCCAAGGGATCTTTTACGTGCACGCAAATGTGTACACGGGACCTCGGTTTTTCGTCCCATCCGAACGACTAGACAGCTTTCCTTGTCAGCCCCTCCGTCCTCTAACATTTAGAACCTAGAAATTGACACAAATGGGTCGCAACGCATATAATAATGCAATATGAATGTGTAAGCTTTTAAATGTATTCTGATCCTGGATCTGTGGAAGAAATGAAGAACAGGCTAATACAAAATAGGACTATTATTTTATTTAGGGAAATGGCGGCTTGTAAAGTTGATGCATCTCTGTCTCGGTTACCCAGAACCTCCTAGGGTCTGAGACCGTTGTTAATATTTGACAAAAAGTTCAATTGCCCATGGGTAACCGGGATTTGGTTCTTTATGTTGTTGATTATCCGGTATCTTTGGCCAAGTCAAGTAAGAGTTGCACCCCTTTCCACAATAAATCCCATAATTCTTGCATTATTATAAACAAACATGAATAGTGACGACGAATCAGGATTGATAATAAAAACATAGATATAGCCCATGAAGAGAGAAATTTCACAATAAAAAAATTATGAGTTTTGGATATTGAACTGACAATGCAATCAAATGGAATTTCTGAAATGGCATGCTTAAATTAATTTCATGAGCGTCGACATCTTGTTTTAGACCGGATAATCTAGCCAATGACTTATGGTTCTCAAATGTGTTCCCATACAATTAGAACAAATGGTTAATAATTGATATCGAACGGCTGCTATACAAAACAGATATAGAACAAAAAGTAAATATCACAGACAGTAAATTTTGAAATGTATAAATCACTGAGATAGCATTTAATGTATTCACCGCTATGTGCTGCTGGTGGTGGAATGTATCCAGCCACAATACTAAAAGGTTATACAAAAAAGGGACACAGGAAAAAGCTATGTGGTGGTGGTGGAATGTATCCAGCCACAATACAAAAAAGATTATACAAAAGAGGACAATATACATTTTAAGAACTGCATTAAATATGGAGATTCATCAGAAGATTGGCGTCATATCAAATGGGTATTATGGGAGATTAGAGAAAGAGCTGGCAGTTCCCACTATAATGGTTGAAAACTAGATAATGTAAAGGGAATTTGCTGAAAATTGCAGATAAGTTGGTCCACTCTGAACCGAGAATTTAGCGATTGAATTTAAAGCCTAGCTTCGATCATCATTACTAAAGCCGGTACGATAAAAAACATAGTCTCGATTATCCATTTTTGGATTTAATCATCAATGAGCGTTGGTCAGCTGATCGGATTCTAATCCAGTAAATATAGCAGGCTAGCGATGACATCGAGAGTTGATTATGGTCCGGATAAGTTAATTAATGTCTAAATAATAATTAGATAACATTTAATTAATGTCTAAATAATAATTTAGATAACATTTCAGTCCTAAAGAAAGATCTGCAATTGGCAGATTTAGCTCTTGCATAATGTATGTTTAAAATGTTTAACACTGAGCGTAATGGAACCATTTTTGGTCTGATATTCAGTTTAGAGATTTAAATTTCACAATGCTGTATCTATAAGGAGAGACTTTTTAATTTTTGTTTGTTTTGGGTTTTTTGGCTTGGGGTTGCTTTTTGTATGCATACAAAATACAAATACAAATTTATACAAATACAAGTTAATAATTTGTAAACCAAGACAAAACTTTTAGCGGCTGATTCGTGGCTTAACTACGATCGAGTACTTATGTGGGACACGTAGAAGTCCATTCACAATACGGTGTCTACGAGGAGAGACTTTTTAATTTTTGTTTAGATTGAGTTTTTTGACTTAGGGGTTGCTTTGTATGCACTGTCTAATTTTCAATGCAAACTAATAAGTTAATATAAGTTAATAATTTTTAAAACAAGACAAATTTTTAGGGGTTGATTCGTGACTTAACTACGATCTTATACGGATGGGGGACAAGTAGAAGTCCATTGTCCATCGGTTCCAAATTAATTGATGTTCCTGGTTCGGGTTCCATGACTAATCTCTGACAAAGACCTGCTAGAATTAAATGTAGTTCTGGTTTAGCCATTGGTTCTCCAAGACAAACTCGTCTACCAGCACTAAATGGAAGCCAGTTTTCAGGTTTTGGTGCCATTTTACCATCTTCGTCTAAAAATCGTTCTGGTTTAAACTGTTCGACTTCTTCCCAATTATCTGGATCATTCTGAATACCCCAGTGATTTATTAACACGATGGTATCCTTGGGAACTTCATATTTACCTGCAGCGAATTACAAATACAATTCTGATTGGATGAATTCAAACAATATATTTACCTGCAGTGAATGATAAACACAATTCTTATTGGACGAAAACAAACAGAAATCTTCAATAAGTTAAATAGAAACAGTAGTACAAATTTAATCATTCATTAGTTGTATTGCTTACCGTTATGTATCGTGGTGTCACAGCTGGTCATGTGGGGAACACCAACGGGTGCTACTGATCCTATTCTCATGACTTCGTGTAATACAGCATCTGTATAGGACAGACCGTCTCTATCGGATGTAGTTGGGTATCTATCATTTCCTGTAACATATATGTAGTATTTTAAAATTATACTGAAGTATAACTTCTATAGAGTGTATGCTACCACATCTTAATTTATGCTGTCGCGTAGTAATCAAACTTACAGACGTTTACAGACCAAAGTGCTCACAAGAGAAACCACGGCTATAAAATTGATGTCACTAGTATTGAATTTATGCTGCCACATTCTTATCAATCTTGAGTAACTTTTACGGACTAATGAACTCATAGCAGACACTAAGGCTATAAAATTAATATGGTCTCTTTCGGCTAAAGGGCTCACAAAAGTCTATAGTCCCGTTAGACTAAATGGCTAAAGAAAATAGAGGGGTTGGATGGCCGAATGGTTAGCATGTGCGCGCCGTATCATAAGGTCTGTCATTAAGTCAACTGGTGTGGTCTGGATTTCCTGGTTGTACGTGACAAGGAGAAGGGTCACCTGTCCAACCTCGTGGGTTTTCTTCGGGTCCTCCGGTTTCCTTCCACTGCTAAAGACCCCTGCGCGCAAGCGAAATATTGAAATAAAATTGAACCATGTTAGTCCCGAAATGACCTAGTTTGTGTCGAGTGGACGTTAAACTCTCTCTCTCTCTCTCTCTCTCTCTCTCTCTCTCTCTCTCTCAGAACAATACAAAGAACAAACATTACACAAATACATCAGAGTAAATACAACAAAATCTTAACGTGAACTATGGCTTCGATTATTGAATTATTCATGATTCCAAAATAGTAACTCTCCTATTTTGTTGACATGTTCGTATTTATTTGGATTGGTAACAGTAACCCGTGAACATAATTAAATGTTATTTATAAAAATAATAATTACCAACGACTGAATCAACTTCATCTTGTATTTTGTGTTGAACATCAGGAAGACCAGTTATATACATCAAAGCCCAGTATAATGTTTGTCTTGATGTATCGTTACCAGCTGAAAGACAGTTTGATATCATTATCTTGTATTGTAAATTTGTAAGCAAATGAACTGTTCACAACCTGTACTTTATCCAATCTGATTAAAGTACAGATCTGTATTTCGTTTCGTGTTTTTATACTTTCGATGGCCTACACTACATGAAGATCTGACCAGTTGTAGTGATAGGTCGCGTCAGAGGTCATACCAGCGGCTTTTGACCCTATGACGTCAGATATTGATTAATCAACCAGCCTTGACGTTTTAAGTGGTTTACCCACAGTTCCGTGCACAGTACGCCAAGAACTCGCTGTAACAGACCGCTTCATTTGCTAATCCCTCACATTAACCAGAACGCGGCTTATATAACAACTTTTCCAGGTCCTAGCGTAGTGAATACAAGTAAAATGAAATTTTGAACTATAAAAAACGAAACGAAATAGGATCTGTGTTTTAACCAGATTGATACTTTGCCCAATCTATAAGGAAGCGTTTGAAGGCCAGGTAGCACACGAAGAGTTCAAAGCGTATCTGTAAATATGTGATCTCTGATTGGAGATTTTTGATTTTTGTTTTAGAGCTACTGGAATTCTGCCCAACCTGAAGGTCTGATTTTATCATTTAGTTTTAACTTATCTAAGGTCAACCATGAGCGAATGACCTCTAAACACCGTTTTATCTTGTTAAGCAAGTTCCGCGGTGAGGCTGAATTTCATAGTTTGGTGATATCGACGACACTATGATTACAAATACTGTGCTGCACAAACAACACGGAAAGGAACGGACCCAAAACCGATACTCCAAACTACTACTTTATTAATTATCTGGGAATTATCTGGACCCTCTTTCACGAAATTTTAACTAAAGATAAAATCCAAATTTTAATAGATACTTCATTTTTGATTGGCTAAGCACTAAAATCAATCTAATATTATCCAATCAAATTACTAAAATTTGGATTTTATCTTAATTAAAATTTCATGAAACAGGCCCCTGGTCTCTTTGATGTCTGATTAGTTAAACTCATTTTGGCTCAAGCCAAAACTACTGTGTGAACAATATTGGTTTTCCATGGGATGAAAAGGGGTCAGGGAACAGGCATTGATTACATAAAGACCAATCGTTGTTAAACATTACTACGGTATTGTAAATGGAATCAACAAGAAAATGAATAGACACGAAATTTTAATTTTATCCTTACCCAAAAATATGTCAAATACTGTTAACACTAAGTGATGATGATTAAAAAGCCCCATATTCTCTTCCCCTTCCTCACGTATTTCTTTCTCTGCTTGAAGAAGACTTTCTGTAAAGTTGGTTATTTTTCCTGAAAAGATGAAATCAAATGGGGTTTAACGTCCCTCTCTTCTGCTCCGACTGTGTGCTATGAAGAAAATTTTGCCCGGACAGCGGCCCTACGGCGCAATCTTCTATCAGGTTCCAACTGCCAACGGTTCTTTTACGTGCAAGCGAATGTGAACACTAGACCCCGGTTTTCCGTCCCATCCGAATGACTATACGCACCCTCTGCCCTGCACCACAGAGGGGAACCACGCCGGAAAATCTCGATGAACTATCTCGGCCAAAACCAGGATCGAACACGGGACCACCAAGTTAGCGAGCACACATCTTACTCACAGAGCCACCGCGACTCGCTGAAATGATGAAATATAACACTAGGGGTGTAATTATTTTCAATTGATAAACTTCTGGGCATTAAATATCATGAGCTAATGTGAGATATTTGTAACTAACAACACAATTACAAACCTGGTACAAATTCGTCTTCCACTTTTTTAATATTACATCTTATAATATCCATAAATTCCTTAAATACTTGGGCGGCACGTTTAAACCTTTTGGATGGAAACCATCTGGCTGGCGGGAAAATATTTTCTAGAAATATACCCTCTGATGCAAGTTTAGAAAACTCTTCCAGCTTGTTGAGCATTTCTAAGTAAGCTTCGTCGTTATAGTCATGCCTTATAAAGACAAAAATGGAAATTCAGCACGATTAATTTAAGCATGTCAAATATACCCGAATATGATATTATTATGGCAATACGCCCGAAAGAAGGTCGATTTACACAATATATCCTGTATAATCGTGGCTTGTTCTCATTGTAAACAGTCAATGAAGATGGAACTTTTCTAGTCACGCCGAGACATACTCAACAGATATATTTATAAACTCTCTCATGTCATGTGCATAACTCATTCGGCGTCAACCGACTCAACAGCAGCCGTTCTTCGTTCTTAACGTTTGAGGGAGTGGGGGTCATGGGGTCTGTCATTGAATCAAAAGACGTGGTTTCGATTCCCCGGTTGTAGGTGGGTTTTCTCCGGGTCCTCCGGTTTCCTCCCACTGCTAAAGACCCCTACGCGCAAGCGAATTATTGAAATAAAATTGAACCATATGTTAGTCCCGAAATGACTTAGTTTGTGTCGAGTGGACGTTAAACCCCATCTCTCTCTCTCTCTCTCTCTCTCACTAATGTTGTCTTTGTAGTACTGTCATTATACATATGGTATTAAACAAAGCTTCGCTTGTTCCAGGATTTTCGTTTGTTCCAGCGGAATCCACAAATGAAATTGACTTATTGTTAATGGGCTTTATAATTAATTTCAAGCTATTGCTGTCACAACAAAACATGTCAGATGATCACATGGATCCCATCGTTTTTCGTGAAAAAAAAAAATATGCTCGCATCAACGTAAGACGTGGAGGAGACCCTTTCCATCCGTTTCCATTAGGATTCATTCAGTAAATGTTTTATTCTTACTTTGTTCCGAAGACCATGCCCCCTAAAATATTTAAAGTTGTAAAGAACATGTAGGGTTTAGGATCAAAGGGTCCTTTCTCTTTCAACATGGCTTCCGCTGTTTTAGATACGGCTTCTTCTAACTTTGTATTAAAGTTTCCACTGACCATAAATAACCTGAAATCGTAAGCATAACTTCTAAAATAACCTGGAATAGTAATAACAACGTTTAGAATACTTGAAAATCCGCATAGTAACGTTAAAATAACCCGAAATGGTAATAATAACGTTAAAATAACCTAAAATGGTACCAATAACGTTACGACAACATGAAATGGTCAAAACTCACGCTAAAGAATCTGATATGGTAATAATAACGTTAAAATATCCTATGCTGGTAATAATAACGTTAACATAACCTGAGCTGGTAATATTAAAGTTAAATAGCCCGAACTTGCGACAATACGATTAAAACAATCCGAAAGGGTAACATTAATGTTAAAAAAAAACCTGAGATGAAAACAATAATGTTAAAATAAACTGAAATCGTAACAATAATGTTAAAGTATGAAAATAAAGTTGCATTACATAAGGATAGATCGAATATAGTTTGGCAGGCATCGCAACATAAGTCTACGTGGGGGTGGGGGTAATCAAAAAATATTTTCGGAATTGTTACATGGAAAGGGGTTCTCATCTAACGCATAATAATCACAGTCAGTTTGAGCCTTTACTATTTACCTCATTGCACGACTGGCTATCTTTCTTTTAAGTTTCAATCCTGTACCATATCTACCGTTGATAATGTCATCTCCCCCTTCGAAAAGAACTTCAGCTAGAAAAACAGAGGATAAAGATAGGTTGCCAGGCAACGAAACATACGCCCACAGCAGCTAAATCGTCCGGGCAGTCAACAAGAGTTGTCGCACATTCTTACTTTTTTCGGTAATGAAACATTTATAATACACTAACATCTGATTAAGAGCAACAACTCATGAAGTAATAATCAGAAAACCATTAGAATTTGTTTTTTATAAAGTTCTGCCCAATGCTAACGTTTTGTATACAAAACTTTTAATATCATGGATTTAGCTGTTCAGGTCATAAAAATTTATTAAAAATCAATAACTTGTTCGTCTCAAGATCTTAAACTCTGTGTATCAATCAGAAGTCAATCGGATGATAACTTTAGCCTTTATCGGAAATTGCTGAAAACCAATAGGCTTCTTCGTCTCATGACCTTAAACATTGTGTTCGTCGCATGACCTTAAACACTGTGTATAAATTTAAAGTCAATCGAATATTAACTTTGGCCTCTAGAGCGTCCAAAAGATTTTTTGATGTGATCAAGGGCCATAACTCTGGCAGTAATTATCAGAATTCGCTGAAAATCAACAGAATTCTTCTTCTTATAACCTCAAATACTGTGTATAAATTTAAAGTCAATTGAATACTAACTTTAGCCTCTAGAGCTTCCACAAGATTATTTTTTGAAGTGATCAAGGGCGATAACTCTGGCAGTAATAATCGGAAATCGTTGAAAATCAAAAGGTATCTTCGTCTCATGACCTTAAACACTGTGTATAAATGTAAAGTCAATCGAATATTAATTTTGGCCTCTAGATCGTCCACAAAATTTTTCAAAGTGATCAAGGGCCATAACTCTGGCAGTAATTATCAGAAATCGCTGAAAATCAATAGGATTCTTCGTCTCATGACCTTTAACACAGTGTATAAATGTATTAAGGTCAATTAGATATTAACTTTGGCCTCTAGAGGGTCCACAAGATTTTTCAAATTGATCAAGGGCCATAACTCTGGCAGTAATTATTCGGAAAACAATAGGATTCTTTGTCTCATGACCTTAAACACTGTGTATAAATTTAAGGTCAATCGGATATTAACTTTGGCCTCTAGAGCACCAACAAGATTTTTTGAAGTGATCAAGGGCCATAACTCTGGCAGTAAATATCAGAAATCGCTGAAAATCAATAGGCTTCTTCGTCTCAAGACCTTAAACACCGTGTATAAATTTAAGGTCAATCGGATATTAACTTTGGCTTCTAGGGCGTCCACAAGATTTTTTGAAGTGATCAAGGGCCATAACTCTGGCAGTAATTATCGGAAATCGCTGAAAATCAAAAGGCTTCTTCGTCTCAAGACCTTAAACACTATGTATAAATTTAAGGTCAATCGGATATTAACCTTGGCCTCTAGAGCGTCCACAAGATTTATTGAAGTGATCAAGGGCCATAACTCTGGCCTTAATTATCGGAAATCGCTGAAAATCAATAGGCTTCTTCGTCTCAAGACCTTAAACACTCTGTATAAATTTAAGGTCAATCGGATAATAACTTTGGCCTCTAGAGTGTCCACAAGCAATTGTGGACCCCGACGGACGGACGGACGGACGGACGGACGGACCGACGGACGGGGGCGACGACAATATACGACCACATTTCAATGTGGGCGTATAAAAAATGAAACGAAATAAAATGGGGTTTAACATCCTACTGTTCTGCTCCGACTGGGCTAATAAAGACGGGTATACGCCATACATTGTGCTATGAGGGACATTTTGCCCGGACAGCGGCGCTAAGGCCTACTCTTATATCGAATGCCAACTGTCCAGAGATCTTTTACGTGCACAATGTGTACACGGCAGTTGGAATTCGATATCTGAGTAGGCAATAGCAAAACTTCATTCATGGCACATTGTATGGTGTATGCCCGTTTTCATTATCCCAGTTGGAGCAGAACAGTAGGACGTCAAACGCCATTTCATTTCATTTATTAATTTAATTTTAAAAATGGATAACCGAGACGTTGTTTACTGTCGTGTCGTAACAACGGTAACAACGGTAGCTATTCTCCAAATATCGCTTTGAATGAAGTAATTTCAATATATTTCAATACATTCATTTTCCATTATTTATTTTTAAACTACTCTAATGTATCCAAATCCTAGATAATGCATCTTTCACTTTTTTCCCAGATGTATATATTCAAACTGGTCAGCTAGAACGAACGAAATCATTTTGTGCTTTGTAGTATTCTTAGGACGAGTGCATGGGATACAAATATCCCACACGATTTGCTAGCTAGGTGTACATCTGAAATCAGTAGCGGATCTAGAAGCTGTGAAAAGGGGGGCGGTACCAAATCTAGGGCGCCACCCACAATCCCACCCCCACAATGAATGTCAACAAAATACTGGCTTTAACACTGTATGGGCGCCTAAATTGAGCTTTTTGAGCTTTCAGATAATATGTACTTTACGACTGGGTGTGAGGGGATTTTGTCTCACGGGAGCGCTTAAATGAAAAGTTGTAAATATGATCTCTAACAAAGAGAGAGAGAGAAATGGGGTTTAACGTCCACTCGACACAAACTAGGTCAGTTCAGAACTAACACAGTTCAATGTTATTTCAATAATTCGCATGCGCGTAGGGGTCTTTAGCAGTGGGGGTAACCGAGGGACCTGGAGAAAACCCACGAGGTTGGACAGGCGACCCTACTCCTTGCCACGTAAAACCGATCTCTAACAAACATTAATATTTACCCTTAACAAAATGTTTACTTACTAGAATACATAATATACCGATCCGAGTAGTTAGCTCCCTTGGTCAGCAAAGCTTCATTAATAACATCAATACGGTTTAATATAAGACATCGTACGGGTCCTGAAATATATATAGAGAGAGCGAAATGGGGTTTAACGTCCAGTCGACACAAACTAAGTCATTTCGAGACTAACATATGGTTCAATTTCATTTCAATAATTAGCATCGGGAAGAAATCGGAGGACCCAGTGAAAACCCACGAGCTTGGACAGGCGACCCTACTCCTTGTCACATACAACCGGGGAATCGAAACCACGCCAGAAGACTCAATGACAGACCTTATGAAACAGTGCGCACGCGCTAACCTGAAATATACATTTCAGAGTGGAAATGTAACCTTGCTGTTTTAGCTACAGTGGATCTGTTGCATTCGGGTTTCGCGTCAGGTAAATTGTCAATTAAAATCGGCCTCCATTATAGCCCAGGTTGCAAATCCTATCCATGGCAAGTTGTCACGCTTAATTGAGACGGCAAGAACATATGAAGGCGCCGCGCGGCGGCTGTTTGCTACTAGGGGCTTTGGCTCGGTAATAAGAACAAATTTCTACATAAATTCAAGAACCCGACTTTTCAATCCTTTTACACAAATGCCAATGTGGACTGTGTTGGAATGTTAGTGTTCGCATGGTTCTTAAGTTCGTGCATCTTTTAAATAACATTCAGTGAGTATTCGAGCCCTCTAAACCGTTCATGAATCTAATAGACGTTTCCTAAATTCTACTAATGTTGAGAATATTATGGGGAATGTTTATTATTCATGTTAGGTTTCTTACCCATGTAATAAGTAAAAGCTGGTCCATATTTCTTAGACAAATCCAGCAATTTCTTAGCAATGCTGCCTTTGGTATACACTGAAATTATATTATACAATTAGACATTTGTATTCATCACTCAATCAAATCAAAACTGGATGTTTGAAAAGATATTTGTCAGTTTAATATGTGTATTAAAACCATATATGTAAAACCATATATATGTCAGTTTAATATGTGTATTAAAACCATATATGTAAAAGCTTTAATGTGTTCTGTACGTTTATTGGTAAATCGCACCAATTGCTTGCTGGGCATAAAGTAGTTTATAAAACATGACGAGGCCATTTTAAAACACATATTATTTAATACTCACATTCTGTATTTCCAATCAAAGGCCAAGCAAAGGGTCCAGGGGGTAAACGATACCTCTTCTTAAAGATCAGATACGCCAGAGCACCTGTTGCGGTACCAATCAATAAAGATCTGCTTATTTTAGATTCTGGTATAAAATCATACACTACACCAGGTATGTATTTAACTAGTTCTTCTAGTACATAGTTGACAGAGTCTATTATCGCCATCTTGGAACTTGGAAACTCGGTAATCTAAATATAAAAAAATCACTTTTTTTATCCCAATGATAATTGTAGGACGACTTTATCATACCCCAACAGCTGGTCACTGAGACGTTTGACGCCAGAGATAATTGGTCACCCGGGCGTTGATCCCCGGGCAATAATAATTGTAGGGCAAGTTGATTGGTCACTTTGCAAAGGATCCCTGAGATGACGGCCATCGTTATGTTGAGACTGTTGATAACCGAGACGATTGGTTACCCCGATATTAATCCCCCAAACGACCGGTTACCATGATATTATCCCAAAGACGATTGGACATTTTGGCGTTGATTCCCTGAAACGAGTAGTCACCGGCCATAATATGCCCCTTAGACGAATCGTCGCTCCGACCATTAACCTACATAATATTATGTAAAGACAATAGTTACCTTGAATCAGCGAGTGGAGAGAGAGAGAAGAGAGAGGTGGGGTTTAACGTCAACTCGACACAAACCATTTCGGGACTAACACATCGTTAAATTTTATTTCAATAATTCGCTTGCGCGTGGGTATCTTTAGCAGTGGGAGGAAACAGGACCCGGAGAAAACCCACGAGGTTGGACAGGCGACCCTACTCCTTGTCACGTACAACCGGGGAATCGAAACCACGCCAGTTGCCTCAATGCTAGACCTTATGATACAGCGCGCACGTGCTAACCATTCCGTCATCCAACCCCCGAATCAGCGAGGGCGGATAAGGGTAAAACGATAGAAAGTTAAAAGCAGACGAGTGTTGAAAAATAAATAAATATTCAGAATTTTTTCATCAAATGGTGGTTTATAGTGTTGTCTTGCGGCGTTGATTAAAAATACAAGAGCAGTTCAAACGATGCCGTAAAAATAATAGTACAGATCTGAATAGCTGAAACGTCGATTTCTCACTATCCAGGAGTACCTGGGTTCATTCCCTATGTTGAACGAGGCGGTTCCTCTGGATTTCGCAGATTGTTTTCCCTTGTAGTGTAGGGAGGGGGCTGGCAAACAAAAGCGTTTAGTCAGTCGGATAGGACAAAAATGCGAGATCCCACAACGTACATGGCATCTGTAGTTCGACTAAGAGTCGACTGAAACTCCGCTGTCAGCTGACACAACAAAATCGTAGACCAGTAATATTTTTTGTTATCTCTACTAGTGTGTGTCAGGCTTAAGTCGTCTGTCAAACTCTGCACACAAACAACGCCTCGGGATAGTGGGATATCTAATTTGATTGCTTGCTTTTATACGGTCATTACTTACTTGAGAACGACAAGAGGAACTTGTTGAAACGTAGTGTGAAATAAACCCAGTGATTGTTTTCCATATAAATTTGTGTTTTATAGCATAGTAAGATTAGGTGTCTATACATTCCATATATACCAAATTTGTCATACTTTTATTGGAAATAACCTGATAAATACTTTCGGGACAATGTGTCGTTAATTCTTGTTTTATATGGCGATTCCAACAACGCATCAAAATTAATTCTTCTTTATACTGATATGAGCACTTTCTAGACCAACACTTGAATCGACCCCCGGACGACCCTGTTAGCGCGCCAGTGCCTTACTCACTGACCCACGGCGGCTCCTGGGATTACCTAATCCTTACAGTTGAGTAAGATTATTACAACGTGTTGGCCGTATATTGTGAATGGAATCCAACGCTTTCTTCAGGCCCTGAGTGATAATTCTTTTCCAAGATAAAGCTATCGATAACCATCAAATTACAAGACAAGGCCAAGCAATACTTTGTAACATATTGCTAACAAAATTCAGTTTTGGGATGCATTGGAAAAAAAACAAGGGCATATATGAATATTTTGTAAACTATCTTTGTTTGTGTATTCACTATTGTCAAAATATGAATTCTGTGGGCTATCCGAAAATACCGATTATGCACAAATTTATTCGATATAGTCGGTCAAATCACTACATAATAATAATAAAAAAAACATAAGGGATGGGTAGAATATCCAACTAATCCAAATGGCCCAATCAACACATAGGATACAGGTTATGGAGCACTTTGTCACATACATAGTAAAATGTCGACTTAATGAAACAAAATCGGCAAAATCGCCATATTGACAAAATCGCCATACACGGCACTAATGGCCTTCCGTAGATATGCTTGACACACTTTCTAACGGTTCGTGCATGAATAGCCAGTGGACAACTGTCCATTAATATCTAGCCTTAATAAAACTATTTAATCATATGTCAAAAACAAATTACATACCATACAAGAAGTAAACGTTAGATTACAACCTTACAAGGTCGATATATTAGCCATAAGTTACATTTACAGTATATACACATCGCTCATTAAACATTTTTATACGACCTTTAAGTAAGGTCAAGGTCGATATATAAACATTCAAGTTGGTTAACACGTGGTTATTTATACAAGTTGGTTGATCCTGGGTTCACTGTTTGATTGAGTGTTTTAAGTAACGGAGTGGAATAACCTAGAGCCATAAGGATGGTTATTCGCCATTCGTTTTATATAATAAACCTAACATTCTTGCAGATTGTTTGTGCTTTCATTCAAAATACAGACCCAGAATCCCTTTTTAATTGTCATTTGTTATTTGAAGCTTCATTGTGCATATGAACACCTTCGTTCACAGCGAAGCGTATTCAACGAAATCGACATCGTGTACGTGTAGATGGAAGTAGCACACATGTGAAAAGTTCCACATTCTGTTATATTTTGTATCTTTACTAAACCAGAAACATTGAAAACGCATTTCTTTGCAATTTTGTTTATCACAAAGATAAAATACAAACTTAATCTAATTTCGTTCCTGCGAAAGCAGCAGAGACTTATTGAAATTGTTCTACCTGATCTGTCTGCCCGCCCGCCTACCACCCGGAGTAGGCTACCCATATTATTTCATTGCTAACCGCATGTTCTATCTATATACCATTCGTATATTTCATTTGCTACCAATACATTTCATTTCCAACTGCTGTTATATTTTCCACCCGTATATTTCTATTTATACCTTCCATTTCAAACTAGAGAGAGAGAGGCCTCAATGACAGACCTTATGATACAACGCATACGTGCTAACCATTGCCCCCCCCCCCCCCCGCCATTTCTTTATTGGCATCCCGTATTCATTTGCTACTCATAGCCTACATTTCTTTCTCAACCGTGTGTTTTATTGTCAAACATATAATTCATTTACATCTACTCACATAGGCGACTAGGCGTACGTCCAGCCAGAGATGCGATCGTAATTTCTTAAAATTGGCTAAGGGATTAAAAGTCAGTTTAATACACAGTAACATTTTTTCGGGAATCATGAATGTTTGTTTAAGCGACCGGCTTTGCATGCCGCGTCTCTGTGTACTCTAAACGATATATTTTTTAGGCATGATGATAATTTTTTCGACTATATCCCCTTGTCAGTGGTGCAGGACGGAGGGCCTGACAAGGACAGTTGTGTAGTCGCTCGGATGGGACGAACAAAACGAGGACCCGTGTACTTTGGCGTATCCGGGCAAAATTTCCCTCATATGAAACTGGAATGAGAGAGAGAGAGGGTAATTTCGGGACTAACACATGGGGTTCCATTTTTTTTATTTGAATAATTCCCTTGCGGGTAGGCGTCTTTAGACTTTAGCAGTGGTAGGACCCGGAGAAAACCCATGGGGTTGAAAGGCGATCCTACTCCTTGTCACGTACAACAGGTGAATCGAAACCACGCCGAAACAGGTAAAAATATGAAGTATTTTATTATTATCTTATTGTACATCTCTCGTCTTTTTTGTGCCATTCGTTTTTATTTTTCATATTTAGCAACAGGATTGTATTTACCCCAGGGCCGGCGGAAGCAATTACTCCGCCGGGCCTGTACCCCCAATGACAGCCCTTATGATACAGCGCACTTGTGCTAACCATTCGGCCATCCAACCCCCCTCCAACCACAGAAATGTTCTTACTTGTCTCGAATGGCGCCTACTGGATTGCAATAGAATGGAGTGATATGACAAGCTCTACAAGACTGTGTGGAATTTGCTATAAAATAAAATGGGTTTCGGTGGATTCTTTTTCTGCAACAACCGGGAACACGAGGAAAAGTTTGACAAAGACAGCAGCCCTGGCGGCTACTCTTTTTCGAATTCCAGTTTGCAGGAGTTCCTTAACGTGTACATAACTAGACGATATTAATTGCCAGCCCCCCCCCCCCCCGTTCTGTACCACTAACAAAATGGCTATTTTAGATGGTAATAAAATACAATTCAATTCTTTATTTCTTTAAGTCTACTGACTCATCAGATAACATATATACACAAACACAATATATACACGGCAAGTAAATACAAACATTATAATTACATATACACAAACACAATATACACATGTCCATTAAATACAAACAGACAAAAAGTATGGGGTTGGGGTGTAAATAAATTGTATTAAATTGCTAGCCTAAATTTAAACATGACGGAAAAATGCAGTAATTATTATAAGCTTCATAAAATCATCCCAACTTCTAAAATGACTTTAAAAGGCGGAAAATAAGCTAGATTATTACCATAAAAAAATTAGAAAAAAAAGAAAAAATAACAAAATAAACAGTCAAATCAAAGGGTGGGGGGGTACATTTTAGTTAGGTCAGGTAATGTGGCAAGTTTAATTATTATTTAATAGAGTGGTTCTTTTCTTATCTGCAGAAATGAGAAATTTGGCCAGGTTCCGTATTTTGGATGTTGAAGTTGTACTTAATAACTGAATTAATTTAAGTATATTAGGGTTTCGTAAAAAGTATGGTTTGATAAATTGGTGACGCAATTCATTATAGCAAGGGCAGCTTAAAATAAAATGAAATTCGTCTTCTATGTCGTTCAGGTAACAAAGTGTGCTATTTTAGGTGGTAATAAAATACAAGAACTATTTCTAGTAATTATGTAGTTTTCAAATAAGCATTAATGATGCATTGTGTAAGATTTAAATAAAGAGCTGACCGTTCTTGCTATAATAGTTCAAACTTTGAAAATGAAAATTGAATATATTAAACATTTCAGTCAAATTACTCGTTTCTGGACGAATTTTTATCAGGTTTTGAAGTATTCACAATATAGTCTTGATTGTCATGTACTAATGTTACCCTAAACAAAGTCTCGATTATTCATTTTGAATTAAATTACTACATGGCGATTGTGTTTCAATTCATTGGAAGTCACGCCCATCCGATTATCTAGCGAGTTGATTATGGACTAAATAATAATTTATATAACATTTCAGCTCAAAACAGAGACGTACAATGGGCAGATTTGGCTCTAACGTAATGCATCTTTAAATTTTGTTTTGTAATCTGTGTGATGGTAAATATATTCCATATTCAAGGGACTGCGGTCAGTTGGTACATTTATTGGTCACACGTTCGACCTCAGGGTTGCGGATCACGCTATCTATTTTCCGCTAAATCTGCGAAATCAGCGGATCGATCTTAATATGGTTACAATCTTAATATCAGCTTAAGACTTTGTATTTAACAGTTACTATGTCCTTATTGCTGTTTGTTTTGTTTGCTTTGCAGTGGATAGCCTATGTCATGTTGGGCTATTCTCTGATATGGTTAATTGTTGCGTTTTTAGCTCCCAACATACAAGTTGTCTGGCCGTATTACCTGCTCAAACAACACAATATCAATACCAGAATACTTACAGCTTACAGTAATGTGATATCAGCTTGCAGCGGTATCCAACAAGCAACGAGGACATCGTGTGGTCTAAATGAGGATATTTGTTGCGTCTTTTTCACTTTTTCGGACTTCTGCGCGGGTAACTGCAATAATGGATTAATACCCGCACAAGGAGGTGCGACAGCTCTGGATAGAATAATATCGTTGGCATCTTGCATAGCGCTAGTTGAATATGAAAATGCCTGTACAGAAAACACTTTTGAATGTCAAATAGCAGAATATCTCATAGCAGATTGCGTAAATAAATTTGACAATCTGCCTACGACAGCTGAGGTATTACCGACAACAGAACCGGCGGTATCTCCAGTAACTTCTACACCAACGTCTTCTGACAATGTAGAAATTTATAATAATATAATATCCCAGTGTCAGGATATACAACAGGCCATGAGGACTTCGTGTTCACAAAACAATGATGTATGTTGCGCTTTGTTCGCTTACGCAGACTTTTGTGCAAGTCAGTGTAGACTAGCGGGTAACGGAGGAAACGTGGCCGTAATACCAGCCTCAGCCGCAGGCGCTCTCGGTGAATTACTATCATTTTCTAGATGTTCATTACTTACAGAATTGGCAAATGCCTGTTCAGATAACAGTGTTCAGTGTCAAATAGCACGAGCTTTGAGTGCCGATTGCGCAAATATATATAACAACCTACCAACATCAAGCCCAAATACATCCCCAACTACTGGTGCAGCCATATCAGTAACGACGTCACCTAACACACAGGCTGCAATAAGTGAAACTACAAGTCCAACTACCAGTCCTATAACATCACCGACTACAAGTCCAACTAACAGTCCAACAACATCTCCGAATACAAGTCCAACTACTTCGCCAACTAACAGTCAAACAACTAGCCCTACAACATCTCCGACTACAAGTCCAACTACCAGTCCAACAACATCTCCGACAACAAGTCCAACTACTTCGCCAACTACTAGTCCAGCAACAAGTCCTACAACATCTCCGACTACAAGTCGAACAACCAGTCCAACAACATCTCCGACTACAAGTCCAACAACATCTCCGACTACAAGTCCAACAACTAGTCCAACAATATCTCCGACTACAAGTCCAAATACTTCGCCAACTACCAGTCCAACAACAAGTCCTACAACATCTCCGACTACAAGCCCAACTACCAGCCCAACAACATCTCCGACTACAAGTCCAACTATTTCGCTGACTACAAGTCCAACTACTTCGCTGACTACAAGTCCAACTACCAGTCCAACAACATCTCCGACTACAAGTCCAACTACTTCGCCAACTACCAGTCCAACAACAAGTCCTATAACATCTCCGACTACAAGTCCAACTACCAGTCCAACTACCAGTCCATCAACATCGCCAACTACCAGTCCAGCAACAAGTCCTTCAACATCTCCAACCACAAGTCCAACTACTTCGCCAACTACCAGTCCAACAACAAGTCCTACAACATCGCCAACTACTAGTCCAACAACAAGTCCTACAACATCTCCGACTGCAAGTCCAACTACCAGTCCTACAACATCTCCGACTACAAGTCCAACTACTTCGCCAACTACCAGTCCAACAACAAGTCCTACAACATCTCCGACTGCAAGTCTAACTACCAGTCCTACAACATCTCCGACTACAAGTCCAACTACTTCGCCAACTACAAGTCCAACAACAAGTCCTACAACATCTCCGACTACAAGCCCAACTACCAGTCCTACAACATCTCCGACTACAAGCCCAACTACCAGCCCAACAACATCTCCGACTACAAGTCCAATTCCTTCGCCGACTACAAGTCCAACAACAAGTCCTACAACATCTCCGACAACAAGTCCAACTACCAGTCCAATAACATCTCCAACTACTTCGCCAACTACCAGTCCAGCAACAAGTCCTACAACATCTCTGGCTACAAGTCCAACAGCATCTCCGACTACTAGCCCAGCTACCAGTCCAACGACATCTCCAACTACAAGTCCAACTACTTCGCCAACTACTAGTCCAGCAACAAGCCCTACAACATCTCCAAATATAAGTCCAACTACCAGTCCTACAACATCTCCAACTACAAGTCCAACAACATCTCCGACAACAAGTCCAACTACTTCGCCAACTACCAGTCCAACAACAAGTCCTATAACATCTCCGACTACAAGTCCAACTACCAGTCCTACAACATCTCCGACTACCAGTCGAACTACCAGTCCAACAACATCTCCGACTACAAGTCCAACTACTTCGCCAACTACCAGTCCAACAACAAATCCTACGACATCTCCGACTATAAGTCCAACTACCAGTCCTACAACATCTCCAACTACAAGTCCAACAACATCTCCGACAACAAGTCCAACTACGTCGCCAACTACCAGTCCAACAACATCTCCAACTATAAGTCCAACTACCAGTCCTACAACATCTCCAACAACAAGTCCTACAACATCTCCGACTGCAAGTCCAACTACCAGTCCAACAACATCTCTGACTACAAGTCCAACTACTTCGCCAACTACCAGTCCAACAACAAGTCCTACAACATCTCCAACCACAAGTCCAACTACTTCGCAAACTACCAGTCCAACAACAAGTCCTACAACATCGCCAACTATTAGTCCAACAACAAGTCCTACAACATCTCCGACTACAAGCCCAACTACCAGTCCAACAACATCTCCAACTCCTTCGCCAACTACCAGTCCAGCAACAAGTCCTACAACATCTCCGACTACAAGTCCAACAACAAGTCCAACAACATCTCCGACTACAAGCCCAACTACCAGTCCAACAACATCTCCAACTACAAGTCCAACTACTTCGCCAACTACCAGTCCAACAACAAGCCCTACAACATCTCCGACTGTAAGTCCAACTACCAGTCCTACAACATCTCCAACTACAAGTCCAACTACCAGTCCAACAACATCTCCGACAACAAGTCCAACTACTTCGCCAACTACCAGTCCAACAACAAGTACTATAACATCTCCGACTACAAGTCCAACTGCCAGTCCTATAACATCTCCGACTACAAGTCCAACTACCAGTCCAACAACATCTCCGACTACAAGCCAAACTACTAGCCCAACAACATCCCCGACTACAAGTCCAACTACCAGTCCTACAACAAGTCCTACAACAAGTCCTACAACATCTCCGACTACAAGCCCAGCTACCAGTCCAACGACATCTCCAACTACAAGTCCAACTACTTCGCCAACTACTAGTCCAGCAACAAGCCCTACAACATCTCCAACTATAAGTCCAACTACCAGTCCTACAACATCTCCAACTACAAGTCCAACAACATCTCCGACAACAAGTCCAACTACTTCGCCAACTACCAGTCCAACAACAAGTCCTATAACATCTCCGACTACAAGTCCAACTACCAGTCCTACAACATCTCCGACTACCAGTCGAACTACCAGTCCAACAACATCTCCGACTACAAGTCCAACTACTTCGCCAACTACCAGTCCAACAACAAGTCCTACGACATCTCCGACTATAAGTCCAACTACCAGTCCTACAACATCTCCAACTACAAGTCCAACAACATCTCCGACAACAAGTCCAACTACGTCGCCAACTACCAGTCCAACAACATCTCCAACTATAAGTCCAACTACCAGTCCAACAACATCTCCGACTACAAGTCCAACTACTTCGCCAACTACCAGTCCAACAACAAGTCCTACAACATCTCCAACCACAAGTCCAACTACTTCGCCAACTACCAGTCCAACAACAAGTCCTACAACATCGCCAACTACTAGTCCAACAACAAGTCCTACAACATCTCCGACTACAAGCCCAACTACCAGTCCAACAACATCTCCAACTCCTTCGCCAACTACCAGTCCAGCAACAAGTCCTACAACATCTCCGACTACAAGTCCAACAACAAGTCCAACAACATCTCCGACTACAAGCCCAACTACCAGTCCAACAACATCTCCAACTACAAGTCCAACTACTTCGCCAACTACCAGTCCAACAACAAGCCCTACAACATCTCCGACTGTAAGTCCAACTACCAGTCCTACAACATCTCCAACTACAAGTCCAACTACCAGTCCAACAACATCTCCGACAACAAGTCCAACTACTTCGCCAACTACCAGTCCAACAACAAGTACTATAACATCTCCGACTACAAGTCCAACTACCAGTCCTATAACATCTCCGACTACAAGTCCAACTACCAGTCCAACAACATCTCCGACTACAAGCCAAACTACTAGCCCAACAACATCCCCGACTACAAGTCCAACTACCAGTCCAACAACAAGTCCTACAACATCGCCAACTACTAGTCCAACAACAAGTCCCACAACATCTCCGACTACAAGTCCAACTACTAGTCCTACAACAGCACCGACTACAAGTCCAACTCCTTCGCCGACTACAACTCCAACAACAAGTCCTACAACATCTCCGACACCAAGTCCAACTACCAGTCCAATAACATCTCCAACTCCTTCGCCAACTACTTCGCCAACTACCAGTCCAGTAACAAGTCCTACAACATCTCCGACTACAAGTCCAACAACAAGTCCAACAACATCTCCGACTACAAGCCCAACTACCAGTCCAACAACATCTCCAAATACAAGTCCAACTACTTTGCCAACTACCAGTCCAACAACAAGCCCTACGACATCTCCGACTATAAGTCCAACTACCAGTCCTACAACATCTCCAACTACAAGTCCAACAACATCTCCGACAACAAGTCCAACTACGTCGCAAACTACCAGTCCAACAACAAGTCCTATAACATCTCCGACTACAAGTCCAACTACTCCGCCAACTACCAGTCCAACAACAAGTCCTACGACATCTCCGACTATAAGTCCAACTACCAGTCCTACAACATCTCCAACTATAAGTCCAACAACATCTCCGACAACAAGTCCAACTACGTCGCCAACTACCAGTCCAACAACATCTCCAACTATAAGTCCAACTACCAGTCCAACAACATCTCCGACTACAAGTCCAACTACTTCGCCAACTACCAGTCCAACAACAAGTCCAACTACTCCGCCAACTACCAGTCCAACAACAAGTCCTACGACATCTCCGACTATAAGTCCAACTACCAGTCCTACAACATCTCCAACTACAAGTCCAACAACATCTCCGACAACAAGTCCAACTACGTCGCCAACTACCAGTCCAACAACATCTCCAACTATAAGTCCAACTACCAGTCCAACAACATCTCCGACTACAAGTCCAACTACTTCGCCAACTACCAGTCCAACAACAAGTCCTACAACATCTCCAACCACAAGTCCAACTACTTCGCCAACTACCAGTCCAACAACAAGTCCTACAACATCGCCAACTACTAGTCCAACAACAAGTCCTACAACATCTCCGACTACAAGCCCAACTACCAGTCCAACAACATCTCCAACTCCTTCGCCAACTACCAGTCCAGCAACAAGTCCTACAACATCTCCGACTACAAGTCCAACAACAAGTCCAACAACATCTCCGACTACAAGCCCAACTACCAGTCCAACAACATCTCCAACTACAAGTCCAACTACTTCGCCAACTACCAGTCCAACAACAAGCCCTACAACATCTCCGACTGTAAGTCCAACAACAAGTCCAACAACATCTCCGACTACAAGCCCAACTACCAGTCCAACAACCTCTCCGACAACAAGTCCAACTACTTCGCCAACTACCAGTCCAACAACACGTACTATAACATCTCCGACTACAAGTCCAACTACCAGTCCTATAACATCTCCGACTACAAGTCCAACTACCAGTCCAACAACATCTCCGACTACAAGCCAAACTACTAGCCCAACAACATCCCCGACTACAAGTCCAACTACCAGTCCAACAACAAGTCCTACAACATCGCCAACTACTAGTCCAACAACAAGTCCCACAACATCTCCGACTACAAGTCCAACTACTAGTCCTACAACATCACCGACTACAAGTCCAACTCCTTCGCCGACTACAAGTCCAACAACAAGTCCTACAACATCTCCGACACCAAGTCCAACTACCAGTCCAATAACATCTCCAACTCCTTCGCCAACTACTTCGCCAACTACCAGTCCAGTAACAAGTCCTACAACATCTCCGACTACAAGTCCAACAACAAGTCCAACAACATCTCCGACTACAAGCCCAACTACCAGTCCAACAACATCTCCAAATACAAGTCCAACTACTTCGCCAACTACCAGTCCAACAACAAGCCCTACGACATCTCCGACTATAAGTCCAACTACCAGTCCTACAACATCTCCAACTACAAGTCCAACAACATCTCCGACAACAAGTCCAACTACGTCGCAAACTACCAGTCCAACAACAAGTCCTATAACATCTCCGACTACAAGTCCAACTACTTCGCCAACTACCAGTCCTACAACAAGTCCTACAACATCTCCGACAACAAGTCCAACTACAAGTCCAACTACTTCGCCAACTACAAGTCCAATAACAAGTCCTACAACATCGCCAACTACAAGTCCACCAACAAGTCCAACAGCATCTCCGACTACAAGCCCAACTACCAGTCCAACAACATCTCCAACTACAAGTCCAACTACTTCGCCAACTACCAGTCCAACAACAAGCCCTACAACATCCCCGACTATAAGTCCAACTACCAGTCCTACAACATCTCCAACTACAAGTCCAACTACCAGTCCAACAACATCTCCTACAACAAGTCCAACTACTTCGCCAACTACCAGTCCAACAACAAGTCCTATAACATCTCCGACTACAAGTCCAACTACCAGTCCTATAACATCTCCGACTACAAGTCCAACTACCAGTCCAACAACATCTCCGACTACAAGCCCAACTACCAGCCCAACAACATCCCCGACTACAAGTCCAACTACTTCGCCAACTACAAGTTCAACAACAAGTCCTACAACATCTCCGACTACAAGTCCAACTACTTCGCAAACTACCAGTCCAACAACAAGTCCTATAACATCTCCGACTACAAGTTCAACTACCAGTCCTACAACATCTCCGACTACCAGTCGAACTACCAGTCCAACAACATCTCCGACTACAAGTCCAACTACTTCGCCAACTACAAGTCCAACAACAAGTCCTACGACATCTCCGACTATAAGTCCAACTACCAGTCCTACAACATCTCCAACTACAAGTCCAACAACATCTCCGACAACAAGTCCAACTACGTCGCCAACTACCAGTCCAACAACATCTCCAACTATAAGTCCAACTACCAGTCCTACAACATCTCCAACAACAAGTCCTACAACATCTCCGACTGCAAGTCCAACTACCAGTCCAACAACATCTCCGACTACAAGTCCAACTACTTCGCCAACTACCAGTTCAACAACAAGTCCTACAACAAGTCCTACAACATCTCCAACCACAAGTCCAACTACTTCGCCAACTACCAGTCCAACAACAAGTCCTACAACATCGCCAACTACTAGTCCAACAACAAGTCCTACAACATCTCCGACTACAAGCCCAACTACCAGTCCAACAACATCTCCAACTCCTTCGCCAACTACCAGTCCAGCAACAAGTCCTACAACATCTCCGACTACAAGTCCAACAACAAGTCCAACAACATCTCCGACTACAAGCCCAACTACCAGTCCAACAACATCTCCAACTACAAGTCCAACTACTTCGCCAACAACCAGTCCAACAACAAGCCCTACAACATCTCCGACTGTAAGTCCAACTACCAGTCCTACAACATCTCCAACTACAAGTCCAACTACCAGTCCAACAACATCTCCGACAACAAGTCCAACTACTTCGCCAACATCTCCGACTACAAGTCCAACTACCAGTCCTATAACATCTCCGACTACAAGTCCAACTACCAGTCCAACAACATCTCCGACTACAAGCCAAACTACTAGCCCAACAACATCCCCGACTACAAGTCCAACTACCAGTCCAACAACAAGTCCTACAACATCGCCAACTACTAGTCCAACAACAAGTCCTACAACATCTCCGACTACAAGTCCAACTACTAGTCCTACAACATCACCAACTACAAGTCCAACTCCTTCGCCGACTACAAGTCCAACAACAAGTCCTACAACATCTCCGACACCAAGTCCAACTACCAGTCCAATAACATCTCCAACTCCTTCGCCAACTACTTCGCCAACTACCAGTCCAGCAACAAGTCCTACAACATCTCCGACTACAAGTCCAACAACAAGTCCAACAACATCTCCGACTACAAGCCCAACTACCAGTCCAACAACATCTCCAAATACAAGTCCAACTACTTCGCCAACTACCAGTCCAACAACAAGCCCTACGACATCTCCGACTATAAGTCCAACTACCAGTCCTACAACAAGTCCAACTACAAGTCCAACAACATCTCCGACAACAAGTCCAACTACGTCGCCAACTATCAGTCCAACAACAAGTCCTATAACATCTCCGACTACAAGTCCAACTACTTCGCCAACTACCAGTCCAACAACAAGTCCTACAACATCTCCGACAACAAGTCCAACTACAAGTCCAACTACTTCGCCAACTACAAGTCCAATAACAAGTCCTGCAACATCGCCAACTACAAGTCCACCAACAAGTCCAACAGCATCTCCGACTACAAGCCCAACCACCAGTCCAACAACATCTCCAACTACAAGTCCAACTACTTCGCCAACTACCAGTCCAACAACAAGCCCTACAACATCCCCGACTATAAGTCCAACTACCAGTCCTACAACATCTCCAACTACAAGTCCAACTACCAGTCCAACAACATCTCCTACAACAAGTCCAACTACTTCGCCAACTACCAGTCCAACAACAAGTCCTATAACATCTCCGACTACAAGTCCAACTACCAGTCCTATAACATCTCCGACTACAAGTCCAACTACCAGTCCAACAACATCTCCGACTACAAGCCCAACTACCAGCCCAACAACATCCCCGACTACAAGTCCAACTACTTCGCCAACTACTAGTCCAACAACAAGTCCTTCAACATCTCCAACCACAAGTCCAACTACTTCGCCAACTACCAGTCCAACAACAAGTCCTACAACATCGCCAACTACTAGTCCAACAACAAGTCCTACAACATCTCCGACTACAAGCCCAACCACCAGTCCAACAACATCTCCAACTACTTCGCCAACTACCAGTCCAGCAACAAGTCCTACAACATCTCCGACTACAAGTCCAACTACCAGTCCTATAACATCTCCGACTACAAGTCCAACTACCAGTCCAACAACATCTCCGACTACAAGCCCAACTACCAGCCCAACAACATCCCCGACTACAAGTCCAACTACTTCGCCAACTACCAGTCCAACAACAAGTCCTACAACATCTCCAACCACAAGTCCAACTACTTCGCCAACTACCAGTCCAACAACAAGTCCTACAACATCGCCAACTACTAGTCCAACAACAAGTCCTACAACATCTCCGACTACAAGCCCAACTACCAGTCCAACAACATCTCCAACTCCTTCGCCAACTACCAGTCCAGCAACAAGTCCTACAACATCTCCGACTACAAGTCCAACAACAAGTCCGACTACAAGCCCAACTACCAGTCCAACAACATCTCCAACTACAAGTCCAACTACTTCGCCAACTACCAGTCCAACAACAAGCCCTACAACATCTCCGACTGTAAGTCCAACTACCAGTCCTACAACATCTCCAACTACAAGTCCAACTACCAGTCCAACAACATCTCCGACAACAAGTCCAACTACTTCGCCAACTACCAGTCCAACAACAAGTACTATAACATCTCCGACTACAAGTCCAACTACCAGTCCTATAACATCTCCAACTACAAGTCCAACTACCAGTCCAACAACATCTCCGACTACAAGCCAAACTACTAGCCCAACAACATCCCCGACTACAAGTCCAACTACCAGTCCAACAACAAGTCCTACAACATCGCCAACTACTAGTCCAACAACAAGTCCTACAACATCTCCGACTACAAGTCCAACTACTAGTCCTACAACATCACCGACTACAAGTCCAACTCCTTCGCCGACTACAAGTCCAACAACAAGTCCTACAACATCTCCGACACCAAGTCCAACTACCAGTCCAATAACATCTCCAACTCCTTCGCCAACTACTTCGCCAACTACCAGTCCAGCAAAAAGTCCTACAACATCTCCGACTACAAGTCCAACAACAAGTCCAACAACATCTCCGACTACAAGCCCAACTACCAGTCCAACAACATCTCCAAATACAAGTCCAACTACTTCGCCAACTACCACTCCAACAACAAGCCCTACGACATCTCCGACTATAAGTCCAACTACCAGTCCTACAACATCTCCAACTACAAGTCCAACAACATCTCCGACAACAAGTCCAACTACGTCGCCAACTACCAGTCCAACAACAAGTCCTATAACATCTCCGACTACAAGTCCAACTACTTCGCCAACTACCAGTCCAACAACAAGTCCTACAACATCGCCAACTACTAGTCCAACAACAAGTCCTACAACATCTCCGACTACAAGTCCAACTACCAGTCCTATAACATCTCCGACTACAAGTCCAACTACAAGTCCAACAACATCTCCAACAAAAAGTCCAACTACTTCGCCAACTACAAGTCCAGCAACAAGTCCTACAACATCTCCGACTACAAGTCCAACAACAAGTCCAACAACATCTCCGACTACAAGCCCAACTACCAGTCCAACAACATCTCCAAATACAAGTCCAACTACTTCGCCAACTACCAGTCCAACAACAAGCCCTACGACATCTCCGACTATAAGTCCAACTACCAGTCCTACAACATCTCCAACTACAAGTCCAACAACATCTCCGACAACAAGTCCAACTACGTCGCCAACTACCAGTCCAACAACAAGTCCTATAACATCTCCGACTACAAGTCCAACTACTTCGCCAACTACCAGTCCAACAACAAGTCCTACAACATCGCCAACTACAAGTCCACCAACAAGTCCAACAGCATCTCCGACTACAAGCCCAACTACCAGTCCAACAACATCTCCAACTACAAGTCCAACTACTTCGCCAACTACCAGTCCAACAACAAGCCCTACAACATCCCCGACTATAAGTCCAACTACCAGTCCTACAACATCTCCAACTACAAGTCCAACTACCAGTCCAACAACATCTCCTAGAACAAGTCCAACTACTTCGCCAACTACCAGTCCAACAACAAGTCCTATAACATCTCCGACTACAAGTCCAACTACCAGTCCTATAACATATCCGACTACAAGTCCAACTACCAGTCCAACAACATCTCCGACTACAAGCCCAACTAACAGCCCAACAACATCCCCGACTACAAGTCCAACTACTTCGCCAACTACTAGTCCAACAACAAGTCCTTCAACATCTCCAACCACAAGTCCAACTACTTCGCCAACTACCAGTCCAACAACAAGTCCTACAACATCGCCAACTACTAGTCCAACAACAAGTCCTACAACATCTCCGACTGCAAGTCCAACTACCAGTCCTACAACACCTCCGACTACAAGTCCAACTCCTTCGCCGACTACAAGTCCAACAACAAGTCCTACAACATCTCCGACAACAAGTCCAACTACCAGTCCAACAACATCTCCAACTACTTCGCCAACTACCAGTCCAGCAACAAGTCCTACAACATCTCCGAATACAAGCCCAACTACCAGTCCAACAACATCTCCAAATACAAGTCCAACTACTTCGCCAACTACCAGTCCAACAACAAGCCCTACGACATCTCCGACTATAAGTCCAACTACCAGTCCTACAACATCTCCAACTACAAGTCCAACAACATCTCCGACAACAAGTCCAACTACGTCGCCAACTACCAGTCCAACAACAAGTCCTATAACATCTCCGACTACAAGTCCAACTATCAGTCCTTCAACATCTCCGACTACAAGTCCAACTACTTCGCCAACTACCAGTCCAACAACTAGCCCTACAACATCTCCGACTACCAGTCCAACTACCAGTCCTACAACATCGCCTAACGGAGGTGGTGGAGCAAGTGAAACCACTAGTCCAACTACCAGCCCTACAACATCACCTAACGGAGGTGGTGGAGCAAGTGAAACCACCAGTCCAACTACCAGTCCTACAACATCGTCTGGTGGTGGTGGGGCAAGTGAAACCACGAGTCCAACAACCAGTCCTACAACATCACCTGGTGGTGGTGGAGGTGGAGCAAGTGAAACCACGAGTCCAACAACCAGTCCTACAACATCACCAAACGGAGGTGGTGGAGCAAGTGAAACCACCAGTCCAACTACCAGCCCTACAACATCACCTAACGGAGGTGGTGGAGCAAGTGAAACCACCAGTCCAACTACCAGTCCTACAACATCGCCTGGTGGTGGTGGAGCAAGTGAAACCACCAGTCCAACTATCAGCCCTACAACATCACCTAACGGAGGTGGTGGAGCAAGTGAAACCACCAGTCCAACTACCAGTCCTACAACATCGTCTGGTGGTGGTGGAGCAAGTGAAACCACGAGTCCAACAACCAGTCCTACAACATCACCAAACGGAGGTGGTGGAGCAAGTGAAACCACCAGTCCAACTACCAGCCCTACAACATCACCTAACGGAGGTGGTGGAGCAAGTGAAACCACCAGTCCAACTACCAGTCCTACAACATCGTCTGGTGGTGGTGGAGCAAGTGAAACCACCAGTCCAACTACCAGTCCTACAACATCACCAAACGGAGGTGGGGGAGCTAGTGAAACCACCAGTCCAACTACCAGTCCTACAACATCGCCTAGCGGTGGCGGTGGAGCAAGTGAAACCACCAGTCCAACTACCAGTCCTACAACATCGCCTAACGGAGGTGGTGGAGCAAGTGAAACCACTAGTCCAACTACCAGCCCTACAACATCACCTAACGGAGGTGGTGGAGCAAGTGAAACCACCAGTCCAACTACCAGTCCTACAACATCGTCTGGTGGTGGTGGGGCAAGTGAAACCACGAGTCCAACAACCAGTCCTACAACATCACCTGGTGGTGGTGGTGGAGCAAGTGAAACCACGAGTCCAACAACCAGTCCTACAACATCACCAAACGGAGGTGGTGGAGCAAGTGAAACCACCAGTCCAACTACCAGCCCTACAACATCACCTAACGGAGGTGGTGGAGCAAGTGAAACCACCAGTCCAACTACCAGTCCTACAACATCGCCTGGTGGTGGTGGAGCAAGTGAAACCACCAGTCCAACTACCAGTCCTACAACATCGCCTGGTGGTGGTGGAGCAAGTGAAACCACCAGTCCAACTACCAGTCCTACAACATCACCTAGCGGGGGTGGTGGAGCAAGTGAAACTACCAGTCCAACTACCAGTCCTACAACATCACCTAACGGAGGTGGTGGAGCAAGTGAAACCACCAGTCCAACTACCAGTCCTACAACATCGCCTGGTGGTGGTGGAGCAAGTGAAACCAGCAGTCCAACTACCAGTCCTACAACATCACCTAGCGGTGGTGGTGGAGTAAGTGAAACTATCAGCCCAACTACATCTCCTACAACAGGTCCAACTACTTCCCCTACTACAAGTCCGACAACAACGCAAGGGCTCGGTGGATTATTGTCCTATGAGTCGTGTGTAACCGTCGTAAATTTTTTAAATGCCTGTACTAGCAATAGTTTTGATTGTCAAATAGCGGCAGCATTATCAGAAGATTGTTTCGTGAACTTTACTAATCTTCCAGCGACGGTAAGCCAATCTACTTCTCCAACTACATCACCGACCACCGGTTGAAAAATATTCCCAATGTCTGACTAATGTCTTCCGCTACGGATATCGCTTTGGTAGATGCTAATTGTAGGCCGATTGGGGAGGTTCGGCACTTTCCGGGATTCATAATGGACGCTTTATATAATGGGTATTTTGGGGAATACTAACCCTAACCCTACATTTATGTTCGTGCATATATTAACACAATATTTCAAAATGTGTACATTCCATATCTTCCTTTCATATATATTTTTAAACCGGGTAAATTCCGTATCTTTATTCGCCTATATTGAATTTGGACTTTGTAATTCCGTCACCTTTGTCTTTCAGTCTGTCGTGCATCCATAAATTTGGAACGCGATCTTTTAGAATTTTGATGGGATTGATCGTTTAGGTTTAAAGGAAAACTCCGTCGTGTTTCAGAAATTTCAGACCGTAAATTTCGAATGCGTTTTGTTGAGCTATCCACCTGACTGTTAAAGTTTGGGATTAGAGTTCATAGTGGACTTTATAAAACTTATCTTGCATAATTTGTTGATAATGGTTTTAGGGCTAGCAGGGGCGAGTGTGGGGTGGCATATTAATTAATTATCTAAGAAAGCCCTTCCCGTGTTATAATTTGTACATATCAAAATTGTTAAATTTAATACTTTGACTTTGTACATATTTTGAACAATGTTAAATACCAAATGATTCTGTAATTATTATTAAAGGCGTCGATTTCGTACTTTGACTTTGTTCATAATTTAGATAACTTTCGTATTTTTACTTTGTACATATTTTTAAAATTCTTACATTTTTGTAGGCTTCGTGCGTATTTTAAAAAATTTAAATAATTTCTAAAATTCTTACATTTTATATTAATATAATGACTTTGAGGCATATATTATGTGTATAACAGTGTATATCTTATTTTTGACATATATTTAAACTGAGTATACATCATAATGTATTTTATATATATATATGTATAAATATATTTGTAACCAGGGCAGGGTTTACCATAGGCACAGTACGTCATTTTTGCATCGCTTGTAAGCTAATAACCTTGTTTCAAGTCTACATCCGGGTATTTCATTATAATATCTTCAAAACCATGAGGCCCAATGTGCAATACGGATAGTACCTGGACAATATTTCTATAAATTTGGAGGCCCACTGGTAAATCCGGCCCTGGTTATTTGATTCATTTATTTATTTCTCACGTGATATTTATTTCTATTTATAACCAGTATTTTGTTTAAAGCTATATTTCCTTGACAATTATTGGTGCTGTAATTACACAAAAAACACGTTTATGTTTCCCCTATTATATTACGGTCTGTTGATTTTATGACATCATCCTTTTTTCTCTCTAGGATGGTTTGCCTACCCCGGAGGGATATTTCATTTGTTTTAGTTGTGTAGATAACACTTAATAAAAGACAAATTAAGTTAATGGCCGTGTGACGCATCTGATCGACCTGGGTCCTGTTTCTCGAAATCTTAAGCTAAAGATAAAATCCAAATTTTAGAAGATACTTCAATTTTGATTGGCTATAAGCACTTAAATCAATCTAATATTATCCAAGCAAATTACTAAAATCTGGATTTTATCTTAGTTAAAATTTCGTGAAACGGGCTCTTGGTCCTTGGCAAGGCAAAGATAAAACAAATTGCCACGGTTCAATCAGCTGTGGAAGATATCTGACCTCTTTAAACGATTAACATCCCTTTCATCATGACGTTATCTTTATGCGACAAGATAGATTATAACCCTTATTTTATTCCTAAATTCGGCCTAAAGGAGGATTGTCGTCGTATTGCGATTAAGTCGATTATCCGGGTAAAATATGGGTTGAAAGGTCCACGCTATCTCACAAATCCCTGGGGCGGAGATTACATCATGAATGATGATTTACCAAAAGTTAAATGGTTAAATCCCGAGGCGGGATGTGGAAAGGTGGACCGACGGAAGGGCCCCTGGTACTGGGCCCAATGTTCAAGGGGTGGGGCTAAGTGGGCACAGGGGTACACCTCCTCCATACACCTCCATGCCCATGTTCAAAGACCCTTACTCTCCAGCTGTGGTCAATATAACTTTTAATATTTTCATCTAGCCCGCATAATAATGGTGTGGGGGGGTGTACCCCTGTATACCGGAGATTACATCCTGAATGTTCAAAGACCCGTAATCCAGCTGTGGTCCATATAAGTTTTAATATTTTCATCTAGCCCGCATAATAATGGTGTAATTGAGTCAACTGGCGAACGTGGTTTCGAAGAGAGAGAGAGAGAGAGAGAGAGAGAGAGTACAATATTATTTCAATAATTCGGTTGCGCGTAGGGGTCTTTATCAGTGGGGGGAATCTGGGGGACCCAGAGAAAACCCACGAGGTTGGGCAGGCGACAAGTTTGGGATTGAAACCACGCCACTTGGTTAATGGTCAAAAGTGCACACATTAGACCCTTCGACCACCTACCAACTCCAACACAGGCTTATTGTACTAGTATTAAAGATACTGTATTGATTGTGTGCCTCGATATAAATAGTTCAGTTTATCATAATCTGTACTTTAGGCCTGTCTTATAATATTTCAGTCATGCAGGTGCGGCTATATACAGGGGTGTGGTATATAGCTGTTTAAGTGGTCAAGACCCTCCTAATAAAATTCTGGTGGATTTATTTTTTTTTCTTTGGGGGGGAGGGAGGGGGGTAAACATAAAAGCAGCAAAGCCGACAAATAACAGAACATTAACTAAACTATGTCAATATGTAGGCCTAGAGCGAACAGCCATTTTCCGGTAAGTATTTTTAAAATGCTCATGGTGTCCTATAGCTGCAATAGTTGTAGCCGTAATAAGACGGAACAAGACGGGGGACTTCAGTAGTAGAACCATTTCTAGGTGTCCTAATCAAAAAAGAACTTTCTGTCGGCTAGTTTTAATCTGCACTTAGGTAGGCTTTCTTGGTCCAATCTCTCTAAATTGACTAATTTGACTACCGTGGGCCCTACACCAAATCTTAACCGCTTATTTTTAGTATTTACTAACGTACATTCAGTCATCAAAGTTCATATCAGGTCATTTTATCTTATCAATAACTACATGTCATGTGAGAATGATAAATGAAAAATATCAAACTCTATGAGTATGATCAAAATCGATGATGGCTTGATAAGAAGGGGTTCTTTAAGAAAATTCATTCGTCATTACAATAAAGGCTGGATAACAAGGTCTATATAGTCATATTTCTATAGAGTTATCTGAAACCTAATCATGTGACAATATCACATGCCACATTCGTTCAAGATGGCTGACTTATCAACAGTGCAGTTGATTTCTCTGGTTTTTGCGTTGTTAATTCCAGGTGTTGCCGCCTTTGATGCAGGCGATGCCATAGCTTTGGTGCTAGGACTTGTAATTGGCATTTTAGGCGTGTGTGCTTGTTTAGGATATTTTGCCAGACGAAGAGCGGGATCGGGTTAGAGGAGATGTTGGTTGAGATGTTGTGAAATCGGACCTGCCCACTCGACGAAGAAAAAAATAATGACAATATTGAGGAAGAAAATTCGTGCGTTTTGGTGTCCTGTATATTTATATATATATATTGGTTATCTACAAGAGTTTATTTTCAAGACATTTAAATCATCCATTTAACTTTGTTAAGACTGTACATATATTTTAAATCCGATTCTATGAAAAGCTACTTTTTTTTCCTGTGTTCATAAATCGCTCGATCTTTATAACACTACAGTGCATCAAGAGTACAAGTCTTCAGATGCGGAACCAATTATAGACAAAGCTGTGAAAAAGTGATAAACTGGTCCATTCTACAACAGAAGAAACCATGACAAGTTGTGCATCAGCTTTATATTCAAACATGTTCAAGGAAGGAACAGTTGATGAAATTGTGACCAGACATTTTTTTTTTTTAAATCTGCATGATAATGATGTTGTAACCAAAACATATCTATACATTTAATTCAAAATGTAACATTTCATCTTATAATTTAAATATCTGTGGGTTGTTTTTTTTTGTTTAATATTGAAATCCAAAACTGGTCTGTAACTTGTTTAAAATTGTTGGCTGTAGCCCTGTTCAATACATCTTTTATTATCCCCCTTGATTTGACTTTTCATGGAGTTATCTTAAGGGTTTGTGGGGTCCAATGATACAGCAATTATTGATTGCAAAAATTATTTTGGGATCAGACTGACAACAAATGTGGACACTGTCACCGACTCAACTTGATTTCCCAAAGCTGGAGAGCAAAATTATTGAAAAGGGCTATACCGTAGATTTTTTTTGTCTTATTATAAAACTTAAGTATGAAATAAACTATTGAAGCAATTGTTAGACTACCAATACCGATTTCCCAGTTGTACTTTTTTTTCACTATATTACCATCGTACTCATTTCGTTTTGAATTATTTATTTTTATGTTTGATTAATGAAAATATAATAATGTGTATTTTTTAAGATGATAGTGGGAGATTTTTTGCTAGAATAGATTATCATTTAAATCAGCCTGATTAATTCTAATTACGTTATGCCAGATTGATTAGCCTAAATGTAAATTATGCATATGAAATTAAATTTAAGGAGATTTAATTATATTAATTATTTATTAGACCTACTCTATAGTATATAATAATAATATGTGAAAATTACAAAGATATGGAGCCTCATTAATGTTTTCCATTTATAATAGTTTTGGATTTAGTGAATTTTTCCAGAGAATTGTGCCAGCTGGGTGTTTTAAATTGTAGGATTGCCACACCAATGTCATAAACCAAAATTGAAGTCTCCCCATTGAATGTGTGGGGACTTTTACAATATGCAAAAATATTTGTAATTCTTAAAATCAAAACAAAGTTCAGGTTTATGTTTAATTTGGACAAAGGTTTCAAGAAATTGGTCTACATCATCAAATATAATAGACAACGGGCTTTTATCAATGTAATTGTATGTAACAGTATCTATTGTGATTTGTCTATACACATAGTGATTTCATTTACACACTTAAAGATTTATCAGTTCCTTGCACTTCCTGTAATTGACTTGAAAGTACTGATTTTAATAAATTTATTACTAACGGCTATTTTTATTGAGCATTTTATTCATAACGAGTGTCACAAATATTAGTTTTATTTGAAGTCAACAGTAAGGGCACTGGCCTCTCCACTATAATGTCCTGGGTTCAAATCCCACTTGTCATGGGTAAGTACCTGTGGTGACTGACAAAAAGTGACAATTAAAGAGAGAGAGAGAAATGGGTCTAACGTCCACTCAACACAAACTAGGTCATTTTACTACCAACATATGGTTCGATCTTATTTCAATAATTTGCTTGCGCATATGGGTCTATAGCGGTGGGAGGACCCAGAGAAAACCCACGAAAATATTTTAAATGAAAAGAAAGGGGGTTTAACGTCTTACTTTTGTGCACTAAACTGGGTAAGTGAAGCATATATAACGCAGTCAGCTATGAAGGAGATTTCGCTACAGCATACTCATGTTGCGTTTTCTAATTGTCCGTGGAAATTAACATGCTGCCAGTGGTCTACATGGGA